GATGATGATGATGATGATGATGATGATGATGATGCTGATGCTGATGCTGATGATGAGGATGCGGATGAGGATGACAATGATGATGAGGAGGAGGAGGAGGAGGAGGAGGAGGAGGAGGAGGGAGGAGGAGGAGGAGGAGAGGAGAGGAGGAGGAAGGAGGAGAGGAGGAGGAGGAGGCGGAGGCGGAGGCGGAGGCGGAGGCGGAGGCGGAGGAGGAGGAGGAGGAGGAGGCGGAGGAGGAGGAGGAGGAGGAGGAGGAGGCGGAGGAGGAGGAGGAGGAGGAGGAGGAGGAGAACGACGACGACGACGACGAAGGGTCTGGGGACAGATGTTGAACGGGCGCTGGCCGGGCGGGAGAGCCGCCGTTGTCTCAGCGGGCCCACCTCCGAGCCTCGGGGGGACCAACGCCTGCCTTCGGAGGCCTGCGTCGGCCTTCGGCGACAGGCGTTGGCCCGGGGCAGCGGCCCGCGGCCAAGGCCAGCGGTGCAGATCGTCGTCGTCGATCGCCGTCGTCGTCGTCGTCGTCGTCGTCGTCGTCGTCGTCGATCGTCGTCGTCGTCGTCGTCGATCGTCGTCGTCGATCGTCGTCGTCATCGTCGTTGATCGTCCTCGTCCTCGTCGTCTTCGTCGTCGTCGTCAACCTCGTGGGCGTCGTCGTCGGGTCTCTGCTCCAGAGATGTTCGGAGGTTTCGGAGGGTCTTCGGTGACCTCCCAGAGATCTCCAGAGGCCCCTGGGGGCCCCAAAGAGAGCCGGCGGGCAGACTGACACATAATTAGGTAAAAGCCGTGTGCGTCACAGGCGCGTGGGTGCAGTAAGGTGAAGCGGATCTGGTTGAGTGAAACAGCGAACATGCTCAGTGAGGCAGCCATTTTGAAAGACACCCGTCGAGGAGCAGTGCGAACACACACCGCCTCCGAGCGCTGTCGTCTGGGAGCTGGGTCATTTTTCTCATCATCAGCAGCAGTTGGCCGTTCGCCAGTTGAGAGCTAAGCTGTTGGCCCTTGAACGTCTGCATCGCTGCGGCGTTGGGCGATGTGCTTTTACTAGGAATGCGGTATGCCCGACAGCTTACGCAGATATGTTGTGCGGGGGGGAGACGTGTTTTTTTTCCGGCTTACTGAGCCACACAGTGCACATGTTATGCAGGGAGCACGCTCAATTAAAATCTAGCTTGCCAACGGGCGCCCCGATATAGTTTCATACCCATACGACCACCCTTCGGGTGATAAGAAGGTTCGGGGGGGGGAGGAACCAACGTCTCACTCGATCGGTCTCACTATCGATATCACTATCGATCTCACTATCGGTTTCGCTCGATCGATCTCACTCGATCGATATCACAATCGATCTCACTCGATCTTTTTCATTCGATCGATCTCGCAATCGATCTGACTACCGATCTCACAATCGATCTCACTATCGATCCCACTATCGATCTCACAATCGATCTCACATTCGGTCTCACGGTCGATCTCAATATCGATATCACAATCGATCTCACAATCAACGTCATCATCATCATCAACATCATCGTCATCAACGTCATCAGCATCATCATCATCGGGACACCATCATCACCATCATCACCTCATTACCATCATCATCAACATCATCATCATCATCATTAGCACCATCATCATCGGGGTACCATCATCGTCACCTTCATTACCATCAGCATCATCATCATCGGGACACCATCAACATTATCATCGTCGGAACACCACCATCATCCTCATCATCTTCATCTCACCACCATCATCATGCACAACATCATCAACATCATCATCATGGGGACACCATCATCATCAGCAACACCATCATCATAATCATCACCATCGGGACACCACCATCATCGTCACCGTCACCATTATCATCATCATAATTGGGACACCATCATCATCATCAACTTTCAGCATCATCATCATCATCAACATCAGCATCGGGACACCATCATCAAACTCATCATCTTCACCTCATCATCATCCTCATCGTCAGCATCAGCATCATCATCCTCATCATCGGGACACCATTATCGATATCATAATTATTCATCAACAGCATCATCATCGGGACACCATCATCATCCCCATCATCATCAGCAGCATCATCATCAACCCCATCATCAGCGGGAAACCTTCATCATCATCTTCTTCATCATCATCATCATCATCATCTCATCATCATCCCATCAACATCAACATCATCATGATTATCAACATCATCACCATCATCGGGACAATCATTATCAGCAACATCATCATCAACATCATCATCGGGTCACCATCATCATAACCACCATCACCATCATCATCATCATCATCATCATCATCAACATCGTCAACATCATTATCATCATCATCATCATCATCGGGACACCATCATCACCAGCACCATCATCATCATTATCGACATCAGCAACATCATCGACATCATCATCATCATCATCATCATCATCATCATCATCATCATCATCATCATCATCATCAACATCGGGACGCCGACGGGACACCGGCGGGACACCGGCGGGACACCGGCGGGACACCGCGGGCCACCGCGGGCCACCGGCCCCCGGAAAGGAATTATTTGGTCTGGCCGCGCCTCAGTTGGAGGCGGGACACCGGCGGGACACCGCGGGCCACCGGCCCCCGGAAAAGAATCATTTGGTCCGGCCGCGCCTCAGCCGGAGGAGACTCTTTTCTCGCCCGCCCATGCAGTTTCGCCACGCCCGCACGCACGGTACGCACGAACACGAAACCGGAACCGATTTTCCGATAGCGGGGCTCTCCTTTCCACTTCGATCTCACCCCCTCACTTCCGATCTCCCGATTGGCTCGCATAGCCTTGGGGCACAGTGCATACGAAGCTCAGCGTCGACGAAGGCTGTGCCGTTGTACCTCTCATGTCAAGATGTCTTGTCGTATGTGCGTACTGTGCGTTAACTAACCTGCACCCTGCGCATGCGTCAAACATGGCGGCTTCTCTCTCCAGTTCTCTCCAGCCCTGCTTCCATGCCTGCCAAACGTCAGAACCCTCGTGCGCGGCGAGGTGCCGATCCTCGGGCTCGGCTCTGGGGTCCGCCTCCTCCACCAGTGCAGAGCAGACCGCCAATATAGACACGGGCCGTCTCAATTGCGTTTGTCAGCGTGTTTTCCTGTTGTGTTATATATATATATAGATTTACATGTTTGGGTTTTATAGATATATTATCGGGAGATGCCCTGCTCCGCTCCAAAGAAGTAATTCAGCATACTTGCCTCCAGCTTCCCTGCGCGCCGCATCAGCTGCGAGACGTAAGGTTCGTCGGCGCCGGCGAGAAGTGCGTCGTCGTCATACATTTAGCACACGGACGGGGAGATCACCCTGTTGGAGGCCAGGCGTTTGAAAGTGGCGCTTTGCGTCGTGCATCAGCACGCTGGCCACAAGCGAAACAAAAGTCGATACAATGGGCAATTCTGACAGGCACCTAAAGCTCTCTGGGCCAGGAGCCAGAAGTCTCGTTGGAGCCGCGGACGCACAAAATCTTGTCGGTTTAGATTTCATCCAACGCGGACCCCAAACGCTTTGGGACCCCAAATCGTTTTGAATGCCTTTCGTAGTCGCAGCCTCTCTGGTGACACGCTGGCGAACGCCTTGGCCCAAGCAATGGCGATCAGGAGCAGATGCCCTGAAGCCGCGTCCAGGGTGTCCTTGATAAGCCTCAGGGCGACGAACAGAGCGTCGGTCGTCCCCCCTTCCGCAGCGGAGTCCGAATTGCGTGCCTCAGGTACGGTCCTCAGCGCTGGCTCGCCTCAAGCAAACGGGCGGGGTCACGACGTAGAAGTTGTGGCCGATGGGCAGGAGGAACGTCGGCTTGTCGTGCGCCCAACCAGCGCCGAGCCCATTATAGCCCCCCCGAGGAACAGCTGCTTCGGCCTCCCACTGCGGCAGATGCGCCGGTCCCAAACAATAACTCTCGGTCGTTGTTGCCGTCGTCGCCCTCTTTGCGTCCACCCTGGGCAATCTCCCAAGCCTCGCCCAGCCGCCGAGACGAGTGCCTCCGGGAACGTCCAAACCAGTTCGAAGTGACGACAACGCCGACGCCGTAGACGACGTCGACGAGGACTTCGCTGACGCGGACGACGACGACGACGACGACGACGACGACGACGACGACGACGGCCGTGGCAGCGACGACGCCGCCGACGACGCCGCCGACATTGACGAGGACGCCGCCTACGACTACGAACTTGTCTGGAGACTTCCAGAGGTCTCCAGAGGTCCCCAGAGGTCCCCAGAGTGTCCAGATGCCTCTGGAGGCGGCGTCCAGAGGTTCGGGAAACGGTGAAGAATGTCCCGAAGTTGGGAACCTCGAAGATCGAGGATCCTGGACTCGTTCTTCAGTCGATCGATCGAGGGATCGAGGATTCCCGATTCTCGTCCTTTCGTCTCTGCTCTCCGCCTCGGAGATCGAGTATTCTTCGAGGATCCTCGATCGAAGATCGATGATCCCGGAGGTCAAGGATAGACGGTTGAGCCCTTTTCGTCGGCGTCGTTGCCCCCGCCCGGCCAAAATCCTTTCAGAATTGGTCCCCAGACCCCTCCGTGGATCCATCCTGGCCAGTCTGCCGAGCTGCGCCCAGCCGCCGCGACGATTGCATCCAGGAGCGCCCAGCAGCCTCCGAGCCGCCGACATCGACGACGACTACATTTGCGACGACGACGACGGCGACGACGACGGAGACATCGACGACGACCACGATGCTGACGACGACGACGACGACAACGGTGGCGACGACGACGACGATGACGACGACGATCGACGTCGGCGACGACGGCGACGACGGCGGCGACGATGGCGACGACGACGCCAACGACGACGGCGGCGACGGCGCCCACGACGACGGCGGCGACGACGGCGACGGCGGCGACGACGGCGGCGACGACGGCGACGACGGCTCGGCGGGGCGTGACCCCCAGAGGTCCCGGGGCCCCCCTTCCCGCGGGGGAGCAGGCAGCCGTCCTGGAGCCGCGTCCTGCTGGCCCCCCCCCTTCGGGGCGCCCTCGAGGAGGTAGCGGCTACAGGGGAGACCCATGCCCAGAAACGCCCCTCCTCCTCTTCGACCTCCTCCTCCTCCTGCTCCTCCTCCTCCTCCTCCTCCTCCTCCTCCTCCTCCTCCTCCCCCTCCTCCTCTCCTCCGCATTGGCCCTCGGGGCCCTCCTCGTCGCTCCGCGGTCGCGGCTTGGAAAGCTTGGGCACGGTGGAAACCCATGCCAAGAACCCCCTGCTTGCCTCCAGGCTGCCCTGGTGTTCTTGGGTTTCGATAGTGTTGTTGTGACAAGCGTGACGTTCGTGCACCATACGAATCGACCAATGGACGTCCCGGGGTCTCAGGGTTGGGCTTCTCATGGAAGGTTTCTTGCGGAACGGCCTCCACTGAACTCACGCATCCCCGCGAGCCCGTTCAGAAGCGTTGCCCGCGAGAGCTCACGAAAAAGTTACCGATACAGCTGCCCTTCTTCCTTTGTGCTCCTTTTCCTGGGCCTTCCAGGCGGCCCTCGCCGCCACCGCCAGGTTCTCCTCGAAGGCCTGGTCAGAACGCACCCAGGGAGAGTCAGACCGCCCCAGCTGGCCGAAATGGAGAAAGACTCCCCTGCTTTGAACAACTTGATCCGCTGGAAGTCGGCCGCTTCGGTCGGTCTCGCCGCCCCCGCCGTCGTCGAAGCCGATGTCGCCGACGCCCTGTGTCGTCGCCCCCGCCGTCGTCGACGACGATGTCGTCGTCGTCGTCGTCGTCGTCGTCGCCGTCGTCGCCGCCGACACCGCCGACATGCTCGTCGCCATCGCCGTCGCCGTCGTCGCCGTCGCCGTCCTCGCCGTCGTCGCCGCGGCCCACCCCGCCCGAGGAGCCGCCGCCCCGCGCCCGCGTCCCGGCGAGCCGGCCGGCGCCGGGCCGCGCGGAGGCCCCCTGCGCGGCGGGCCCCTCGCCGCCGACGCCGCCCACGGCGTCGACGTCTCTTCGACGACGACGTCGACGTCGTCGACGACGACGACGATGTGGACCGCGACGACGACGACGACGGCGACGGCGCCGACTTCGACGAAGACGCCGACGGCGTTGGCGTCGACGGCGTCGGCGTCGACGACGACGACGACGTCGATGTGGTCGGCGACTACGACGACGGCGACGGTGCGGACTGCGACTTCGACGGCGGCGTCGGCGCCGTCGGCGACGTCGACGACGGCGACGGCGTCGTCGGAGGCCGGGACACGGCGTCGTCAGCACCGACGGCGTTTCCGCTCACGACGACGGCGACCTCAACGGCGTCGTCGGCGGCGAGGGACCGCCGACGGTGTCGAGCCCCGCCGGGCGGGCCTCGTCGACGGCGTTGGAGTGTCGTCGCCTCGGGGCCGGCGAAAGGTGATGCGGAGGCCCTGGCGGAAGAGCCTGTACATGGCGAACTCGCCGAGATATTTGTCAGTCTTTGGTTGCATGTGGCGACGGACGAAACGTTAGGGGGGATATGCTCAGCGCTCAGGGGAACGCATCGACCCCACATCGCCCACTCATCAACGATAGGGCTGGCCCGTTCGTTCTCCGCTGCTGCTCTGATCGTTCTTCTGTCTCGTCTCGTCCTCTTTTTTTCTGGGTGCCCTTGTGTCCCCGCTTCGTGCTGTTCGTGCTTCTCTGCTGCCTCCTGCTTGCCGCCCGCTGTCTTCCCTGCCTCTTACCCTTCCTTCTTTTGCGCGCGCTCTCTCTTGCCATAGTCTCGTGTGGCGCTTCCTGCTCTTCCGGTGGTAGTCTGTCTCACGCCGTGGAGCCATGGAGTGATGGCCCCTAGTTCGGCCTGGAGCCCAGTCGGGACCCGGCAGTCCACCCCGCCCAAGAGCGTGCGGAGTCGCTATCGAGAGCCTACCGCCGATCAATCCGCGATGTGCCGTCGATTGAAGGTCGATGTTTCTTCCACCCCCCGACCAGGATGCAACTCCTAGGAGGGCAAATTCTGCACTCGGCGCCGACAGGTCGTTGAAAGCAGGTATTTTTGGATTCCCAGATTCCAATCTACCTTCAGTGCCTTCCAACTTCAAGAGTCGAGTGGTTTTCCCTCTTCCCTCCTCTTCAGGAGGCGGGCGGAACCCCAATCTATTTCCAACGCCTTCGTACTTCATGTTTCTACCTACTTCTTGCGACCGATGGGTAATCCCGGGCTTTGTTTGGCCTAGTACGGTTCAGTGGCCCCCGAAAATGGCTTGATTTGATCGTTCTGACGAAGACTTCCTTTGAGTTGTTGCTTCCGCCCCGCCCAGAACGTGCGGATGCGCCATCGAGAGCCTACCGCCGATCTATCGGCGATGCATCGTCGATTGAAGGCCGGTGTTCCCCCACCTTCGCCTAAGCCAGACCCCTCTCTACCGACGACCCTCATGTCAGGGAGAGCTCTTCCTTACAGCTTCTAATGAGATGCCCTGGTATTTTTGTTCGTCCCTAATGGCTCGTAATTTCCTCACTGATGGCCTGGTAATGACCCCACGAATGGCCACGCGAATGGCCCACTCATGCATTTGACCCACTTATGACCCGATAGTGGCCCAGTGATGACCTGCTACTGACGTTTGACACACTAATGGCTCACTGATGCTCTTAAAACGGCTCGCTTCTCATTCCTCTTTCGCGATGTCGCTATCAAAGAGATCACTAGTGCCACATCAAGCGGTCATGAGCGTGACTTCAGCCAGGTCAGAAGGTACTGTGAGGCAGGGCCCTTCATGACTCATGGTTGCACCCGGCGGCGGGCGAACTCTGCTGCATTCCGCTGGTGTGTGGCCTGGCTGCTGGGCCCTTGCAGCGATTCACGGCCGCCCGCAGCGCGGCGGGCGGGCGGGGCGCTGGGAAGCCGGCTGCGTGCGCGTCGTGGCGCTGGCCGAAATGTCGGCCGATTCCATTCATAGTGGAAGGAGGCGTTCTAGAACGGGCCTCGCTTTCGAGGGTCGAAGGGGTTGGCGCATCTCCTCCCCGGCAGAAGGGCGGCGAGAGGGCGGCGGAAGGTGAGGGAAGTAACAGATGCGCCCCCAAGTGGGAGTAGGAGGAGGAGGACGAGGAGGAGGAGGAGGCATGGGAGGATGAGGAGGAGCAGGATGAGGAGGAGGAGGAGAAGGAGGAGGAGAAGGAGGAGGAGGAGGAGGGGGGAGGAGGAATAGAAGGAGGAGGAGGAGGAGGAGGAGGAGGAGGAGGAGGTGGGGGAGAAGGAGGGGAGCGATTGCAAGCGTTTTTGCGGTCGGCGTTTTGGGGGAGCGCGCCAGTCTCGGTCAGATTTCGGGTGGCCCGAAGGCGCCCCCGAGCCTCGCGTTCACCGCGGTCGCTGTTGCGAGCAGCGCAGACGCCGACGCCGACGCCAACGACGACGACGACGCCGACGCCGACGACGATGCCGACGACGCCGACAGCGCCGACGCCGACGACGACGTCGACGACGACGACGCCGACGACGCCGACGTCGCCGACGACAACGGGCCCGTCAATGTGGCCACCCTGTCCGCCCGGGTCGTGGCGAAGATCTCGTCTTGGTCGTCGTCGTCGTCGTCGTCGTCGCGACGTCTTCGTCGCGACGGCACCGTCGATCGGCGACGTGGTCGTCGTCGTGGCGACATCGTTGTCGTGGCTGTCGTTGTCGTCGTCGTCGTCTTGGTTGTCGCAGCGACGCCGTCGCCGTCGTCGCGACGTCATCATCGTGGTAGTTTTCGACGTCGTCGAAATCGTCGTCGACGTCGACCTCATGCGTATTTAATTTGTTACAATTTATGGCGTATCTGTTTCGATCGTCGTCGACGTGGACCGCCAGAGTGTTTTGGGTCAGAATTCAGGCGTTTGTCTTTCGATTTTGATATCCTGGGGCCGTCTATGGTGCCTCATCTGTCCCGCCACGTCAGACCTGAGGAACGCTGTCGTTGCCAAGCATCCAGCAGTCGACTTCGGCGTCGACGACGTCGTTTATGTCATCGCTCTCTATGTTTCTCAGTGTGTGTCCCTGCATGTTCCCGCCGCTACGGCAGTGCCCAGCCATCCTACGGCTCGGAGGCAATCGGGGTTGTCGTCGCCATCGCCACCGCCGAAGTCGATGTCTTCACCGCGGCCGTCACCGCCGTCGTCGGCGACGTCGTCGTCTTCGTGGTTTCCGCCTGAGCGGTGCGCGCATCCCTCGTACGAGTTTACAACCGTGTTCATGACTTTTTGTGGTCGGTGTCCCAGAAACGGTGTTTTGGCACAGTGTAAGGCTGTCAGACAACAGGCACGTGGATTCGCGGCGTTGAAGTCCCAGGAATGCGGTTCGGGCAGGATTCAGGGCCGCCAGGGCGCAACAGTATTGTTGATTCGCGGCGTTGGAGTCCCAGGGATGATGACTTGGCTTGGTTCAGTCTGTTTTAGATGTTTTTTTTCCAACGCGGCATGTCCTTCTGTGACAAGGAGTTCTTGGAGGGACTTGTGAAGAGGGAACTTGGAGGAAGGATTTACTGCAACGTCATTGATGAGCGTTGGGTCTGCACTGGTCCTCCTCGTGACCCGTGACTGCGGACCTGTCTGTTCACAGGGAGCTGGAGCCCTCGTCCCCACCCTTCCTCGCCCCATCAGCGAGGGCGAGGAGGAGGGGGGGGGGGGAGGAGGGGGAGGAGGAGGAGGAGGAGGAGGAGGAGGAGGAGGGGAGGAGGAGGAGGAGAAGGAGGAGGGAGGAGGAGGAGGAATGGTTGGAGGAGGAGGAGGAGGAGGAGGAGGAGGAGGAGGAGGAGGAGGAGGAGGAGGAGGAGGAGGAGGAGGAGGAGGGGGGAAGGGGCGGGGGCCAGAGCTGTGAAAGGGGGCGGCACCTCAGCCGAAAAAGGGGGGCCACCCCAGGGAGGAGGGCGACCACGACACTGGTCCTCAAAGCGCTTCTTCACTTGCTGCTGCGCCAGGCACGAGCGTCGACATCGAGTCCGTTTCGGGCTGCACGATGGTCGTCGAAAGCAGGTCTTTATGGATTCCCAGATCCCAGTATACTTCAAGCTCCTTCCTACTTCAAGAGTCGTCATGCTCCTGCTGCGTTCTTCTGTAGTTGTTATTTTCTCGGAGGGCCTGAACCCAACCTGCCCTACCCGCCTTCCCTCGTCAGGCTTTTACCCACTATTTCCGGCAGACGTGTAACAGCCTGGCTTTTCTCCACTCCCGCGGACACCTTGCCGAGTTGAAAGCATTCTCCATAGCCGTACTCTCTTGGCTCGCCGCCCTGACGGGCTGTGCGCCACCGATGGACGACGGCGGGCCGGCGCCGGCCAAGAGGCCAAAGATGGCGGCCGTCGGCGCCACGCAGTGGAAGTTCCTGTCGGCGTGGTTCTGCCCCTACGCGCAGATCGGCGGAGCGGCGAGGGGGGCGCAGAGAGTCCTCAGCATCGTCCTCGCAGTCGTCGTCGTCGTCGTCGTCGTCGTCGTCGTCGTCGTCGTCGTCGTCGTCGTCGTCGTCGTCGTTGTCGTTATCATCATCACCATCATCATCATCATCATCATCATCATCATCAGTTTTCGGACACCTCGCTGAAGTTGCCCAACAAGAGCCCACTCATCGGTCTGGGAGGAGGGAGGACGGTGCGCTTAGCCTTGGTCGCCTGGACAGGTTCTACAGATCTTCTGCCACCACCGACATTCTAGATGCGACTCCACGGAGCGGAGTCATAGGTCTTGCTCATGATGTCGCCCAGCCGAGCGACCATATTCCTGTCTGGCTTCAGTTTTCGCCTGGCGGCAGAACAACCCCGACGATCCCCTCCTGGATTGCCAAACATCCTGATTTTGGTTCTGAAGTTGAGGCTGCCATTGGTTCGGTTGAAATGCCCAGGGACCCGTTCGAATACCTCCTGTCCGTCAAAGACGCGATGTATGTTGCCAAGGATGCTTTGATGGCTCGCATGTTCTTCCGAGGCCCCCACAACGACGCGCAGAAGTTATCGGTCTACCTTAAGTTTCTTCGGGCTGTTCGGGATGGCAAGTCTTGGGACATTCGGAGGTGTATCCAGGCTATTCCTCATCTTAGTCTACATGTTCATGCTGATGAATGTTGTTTTAGAGATTCGGTGTCATTTTATCGTGAAATGGCCGAGCTTCAGCACTCTCTTCTCCAGCGAGAAATTCGCGAACACGTCGAAGGCGGCGGAGCCCCCGACGACGATCGAGGCCTCAGGTTGCACCAGCTTCTGCGACAGTGGTCTCCCAAAAGGCGCCGTATCGTTCTGGCTTCCGTCCCCGACCCCACCGGGTGCCCTTCGCCTGACCTGGAGGTCAGTGCTCAGAATCTTGCGTCGCACTGGGGGCGGGTCCATGCCGCGAAGCCTCAGGACAGGGGATACCACTTCCAGAAGACACTGTTGAGCAGTGAGATTCAGCAGGTAGCCCCAGGTATCGAGTGGACGCTCGACCTGCATAGCTTCATAGGTAAGCTCGTCGGCCGCAAGGACAGCGCGACTGGCCCCGACGGCATCCCATACAGTGCATGGCGGTTCGCTGGCGACGCCGCTCACAATGCCTTGTATCAAGTTTATCTCGCTATTTTGGACAATCCTACATATGGGCCCCCTCATAAAGGCTTCAACGAGTCCCTCACGGTGTACCTCCCAAAGGCCATCCACCCGCACGAAGCTGGAACCTCTGAGATCTCTCAGGAAGCGTCTGTGGTTCGCCCTATTGCCCTCAGCAATACTGATAACAAAATTGTATCCTTGGCCATATGCGAACCATTTAGCCAGCAATGCCAGTACAGCGTCCTAGGCTCCCAGACGGGCTTCGTGCGCAAGAGGTCTATGCTCGACAACTTGCTCTGCCTTGAGGCAGACATTCTTGAATATGCCTGCTATCGTGGCATGCCGCACGCGGGACTGCTCCTCTTGGATTTCCGCGCCGCGTTCCCGTCGCTGCGCCACGACTGGATCATAGATGTGTTAATCATGATGAATATACCCATGTATATCGTGAGTGCCATTCGGTTCCTATACACAGGCATCTACACACACATATGCCTAGCAGGCAAAAAGTTTCCAGGCTACCCGATCACCCAAGGCATTAAACAAGGATGTCCACTGTCGGGTGCATTATTTGCACTATGCATCGACCCGCTGCTGCGCCGATTATCTAACTTGCTAGCTCCAGTTTGTGCTTCACCCCGTGCCTTTGCAGATGACATCCAGATCTCGGCATCCAACCTGTTGCTAGCTGTTCCGATTGTGCTGAAGAATGTTATTAGGTCAAGCCGGTGTACTGACCTGCTCTTGAACCTTGCCAAGTGTATGATCGTGCACACGCAAGAGATGCCAGATGACCAGCATTTCGCCTTATTCGAAACAGTTCGCACAAACGTTCGCTCGCTCATGCACGGCACCAGTGGCAAAGTCTTGGGTGTTTTCCTGGGCCCTGGTGGTTACAAGAAATCCTGGTCCGCTCCGCTTCAGAAATATATTAGTCGGGTCCGTCATGTTCGGTCGCTTCGTCTTGGGCTTACTCAGAGTATTTATGCATACAATTCCCTGGCCTTCTCGGTCCTCACCTTCGTGATGCAGCTATGTTACATATCGCAGGATGCGCTTCGCATGGAAACAAAAGGATTGCAGACTCTCACCGCGTGCCCGTTCTACAGCATTCCTACTGATCTTCTCCGCAATCTCTCGTCGGCGCTGCATTGGCCCATTGCCCCGCGCAACCTCGTGCTGGAGAATCAGGCTGCCATGTATCGGGTCGCTGTTCGATCCAAGGTGTTTGACAGCATTCGAAGGCGATTTCACGAGCTTGAGGAAGAGGACTGGGATGTTCTAGTGGTCAAGCGGTTCCCGACATGGCGTGCCGAGCCCATTGTTTTCCACCTGATTCACAACTACGAGCGTCTAACAGCCCTGCCGTGGAACCACTTCGATGAGGACACTCACGAGTTGCAGAAACAGATTTTGAAGAAGTTGATTTCTGAGGGCCCCTGTTGCTCCGCGGTTTTTCTCCTGGGCAATCAAATTCGTTTCGCTTTTCCTCTGGTTAGTGCCTCTAGTATCGACCTTGCGGTGCTCAGGCTCAGAATTGCCTGCACGCGCGTCGGCCCTTTTGTGGCTGCTGCCATTCTCAAAACCATCTGCAACGCGTGGGCGACCTCTGCCAGGTATAGGCAAGGCCGTCTTACCTGTCGCTTTGGCTGCCGAGCCACTGGCGGCGACCACGTCCAGCATTATTTCGATTGCCCTCATGTTCCGAGCCTGCTTCCCTCTGTCCTGCCCTCCCTGCCAGCCGAATATTCGAATCAGAGCCTCGATGCGCGTATGCTGTGCACCATGCCATGCCATTCTAGTCAGCAGTTGTTTTCTTTGTTTCTCGTCCACGACCTGCTCTTTTCCACCTTTAACTCCTTGAGGAGCTCGCACAGGTACGGGCCCGATTGCCTGCTGCCTCTCCTGCGCGCCCGCGCCCGGCACATCGCCAAGAAGGGGCGCGTCGTGCGGAGCGTCCTCACCAGGAGGCCCGCTGCAGAAGGCAGCTGAACGGCCCGTCTCTCTGACTCGCCCAGGGGAGTGCGATCATCATCATCATCACCATCATCATCATCATCAGCATCATCATCGTCATCAATATCAACATCATCATCTTCAGCACCATCACCATCACCGACACTGTCACCATCACCATGACCACCATCATAATCATCACCACCATCATTATCCTCCTCCTCCTCCTCCTCCTCATCGTCATCGTCATCATGCTAATCATCATCATCATCATCATCATCATCATCATTACCATCATCATCATCATCATCAGCATCAGCATCATCATCATCGTCATTATCATCATGATCATCAGCATCAGCATCATCATCATCACCACCATCATCGGCATCATCTTCATCACCATCGTCATCATCGAGAGGGCAGGCATTCGCAGAGGGCGGCGGAGCTTCTCGGGAACGCTCGGGCCTTCTCTGAGAAGCCCTCCGCGGCCTCGGAGATGGCCCCGGGAAGCCTCCCAGAAGCCCCCGTCTCTGGCGCCCTGACCCCCCCCGGGCGCGCCGCCGACGCCGAGGGCGTGGATCGCCCTGAACCACCACCGGGTGCCTTACGAGAAGATTGAGGCCCTCACGCTGAAGATCCCGCCGGGGCAGACGCTTGCCGACGCCACGGGCTACGAGAAGCACCCCCTTGTGCTCAGGCAGCTCAGGGGGTCTAAGCCTCCCAGATGGGATCGGAGTAGATGGGGTCGGAGGATCGCACCGCATCGCCGATACATCGCCGATGCATCGCCGACGCGGCTCGGTGTGGACTCCGATTTTCTCCACGCCGACGTCGCCGATGCATCGCCGATGCATCGCCGATGCGGCGCAATCGTCCGACCTCATCTACTCCGACCCCATCCAGGAGGCCTCCGGTATTCTTCCATCGTTTTTCCCTTTTTGGGCTGCCCGGGAGGCCCTCGCCCGATGAGGGGTCTGGGGAGTAGCCGTATCGGTATCTTCTGGTTCCCCTGCATGCACCACCCTTCGGGCCTGGTTCCCACCCTCGCCGATCAACGATTCAGGCAACTCGACGGGCGGCGGGGGCAGGGTCCAGAATACGGCGAAAAATCCGAACCTATCCCCCTGCCTCCCATCGTTTCGGCAGAATCGATGGCTGGGTGGGGCACAGTCGAAACCGATAGTAAGGATGGGTAACCTCCCCGAGGGCACCCCTGCGTCCTTGCCTCCTCGGCCCATCCTTCACCCCTTTCGATGGCCAGCCCCGCTCGCAGAGCGCTTCGACATGGGCGCCCCAGGGGCGGGCAATAGTTATATCCACATCGAGTGCGTCTTGGATTCTGGGGCTCTCTCCCCCAGAAACCGTAGACGCACTGGACATGGATAACAATCTGGCCCCAAGAGGCTTGATTTTATCCATATCCAGTGCGCCTCGGGGTTGCGGCACCTCTGCCCAAAAAGTCCACGACGCTCTGGATATTGATACAAGTGCTGCCCGCACCAGGGGCCTTGCGTCCTCCCCAGCAGCTCTGACCGTGGGGCCCGGACGTCGCCCCCCACAGGCACCACCCCTCGGGCCTGGTGCCCACCATCGTGGACGCCGGCGAGTCGCGGCCAGCGGTCTACGACTCGCTCGTGTGCGTTAGGGGGCCACATGCGAAACCTACGCCTACCCCCCACGATTTCTGAGGGGGAGGGCGGGGTTCACTTCGCTCGGGAGCTCCCGAACGAAATGAACCCCACCCTCCCCCTAAGAAATCGTGGGGGGTAGGCGTAGGGTTCGCATGTGGCCCCCTATGCGTGCAGTTCGTGGACGACCTCGCCGCCGCGGGCGGGGCGCCCGGCGGCGAGGCGCTGCTGCCGGCCGACCCGGTGCAGCGCGCGCACGCGCGGATCTGGTCGGAGTGGGCCGACAAGACCAGATCGGCGACCACGCGGGGTGCGCCTGCAGTCGGGATCGATGATGCTCAGGAGAGGAAAAACACACCGACACAATTAATCCTCGATTCCCCAGAAAGTATAGGAAAATAGAGGAAGTGGGGGGGAGGACAGAAACCCAGAAAACAAGGTGAAATATGGGGAATATCTTTGTTTGTGTGTATGTATTTGTGTGTCCTGGGGCCCCTTCAGATGCGGGCGGGTCTCTTCTCAGGGGCACCCTTTCTTGCAGCGCCTGGCCTCTCTCCGGTCCATCCCTCACCGCTCCCTCTCGACGGCCCGCCCCGCTCGAGAGGCCTCGGCAGGGGCGCCCCAGGGGGGCTTGCGTCCTTCTCGCGCCTCCTCGCTGCCAGGTTTGACTGTGCGCCGGCGTGTGGTTTGCGACCTGCGTCGTTCAGGAGGGGAAAAAAACACAGACACAATGAATCGTCGATTCGCAGGAAAAAAAGATGGAAAAATATGGGAAGTGGGGGGGAAGACAACAACCCAGAACATATGGGAAAATGTGGGGGAATCCTATTATTTGTGTGTATTTATGTGTGTGTGTGTGTGTCCCTGGGCCCCTTTAGTCGTTGGGGCTCGGGGGACACGGCGTTGCCCCCGTCGGGCCGCGCCGGGGCGCGGGGGAGCACTCCGCCGAGGCTCTCGCCCGCGCTCCTCCCCGAAGGCGCGGGTTGCAGGCCCGCACCCTCTGCAGACCGCACCCCGCGGAGTCGCCGAGCATCCCCGGCGCGTTCTACAACATCCTCGTGCCTCGGGAGGCCGAGAGGCGGGCGGAGGGCTTCGCCAAGCTCAGGCAGGGCCTGCGGAAGTTCCAGGAGTCCCTGAAGGGCCCGTTCTTCTACGGGGATTCCCTGTCGATCGTCGACATCGCCGTCTTCCCGTGGTGCTTCAGGACCTTCACGTGCGGCATCGTGGAGCTGTACCGCGGCCCCGAGTTCGCCCTGTCGAGGGACGAGTTCGCCCCCCTCCTCGGGTGGCTGGACAGGTGCCTGGCGCTGGACAGCGTCAAGGCCACCCTCCCGGAGAAGCAGGCGCTCATCGACACCTACAAGCGCTACGCCGACGGCACGGCGAAGTCCAAGGTGGCAGACGCCGTCCGCGCGGGGAAGAACGCCCACGAGCACGAGTGAGGTGTGCGGGCCTCTGCCTCCTCACCGGCACGGGCCTCGGACCGCCCCCCCCTTCCTCGTCCTCGGCCTCTTTCTCCTCTCCTCGTCTCCTCCGTCCTCGCCTCCCCTCCTCCTTGCCTCGCCTGCCCTCGCCTGCCCTCGCCGCGCGTGGACGCAGACGGCCCAAGACACCGAACCATGGGCGGCGTTCGAGCACCGCTACACCGGCGTCACACCGTCCTTGGCATCGCTCGGACGTGTGCCTTCTTTCTTGGCGAGGGCCGTCGAGGAGCATGTTGGGCCGTCTTGCGGAGAGCAAGCAATCATTACGAAGCACAAAGCCGAAGCAATGCACGGGGAAAGGATGCCCAGGCGATGTCGACCCTCGTGTCGCACCGCGGTCCCTCGTGGACGGCATGCTGGGGGCTTCTTGGGGGGCTCAATTGGGCCTCTCGGGCGCGCAGCCGAATCTGGTTTTTGGGTCATGACGCGGGTCTCCAGCGGCCGTGCGCGACGATCCCAGCACCCCCAGGACGCTCTCGCCGAGGCGCAGCCGCTCGAAGGCATCCCGAGGCTGGAGAGCCTCCGAGAACCGACGAGGACGACCGAAAACCTCGAAGCTCGGCAGCACCTCGCAGTCCCTTTGGGAGGCTCTGCTGGGCCTCCTTGGGTGCCTCCTCGGTGCCTCTCGGGTCTCTCGGGCCCGTCCCTGGGCGCGGCGGCTCCGCCGAGCCTCCCTGGTGTGCAAGGCTCGATGGAACCATCCTGGCCTCCTCCTCCTCCTCCTCCTCCTCCTCCTCCTCCTCCTCCGCCTCGTCCCCTCCTCCTCTTCCTCCTCCTCCTCCGCCTCCTCCTCCTGCTCGATGGAACCCTATAGTGAGAGGGGGAAACATCTAGGCCTCCCAGATGGGGTCGGAGTCGATGGGGTCGGAGGATCGCGCCGCATCGCGGAGGCATCGGCGATGCGGATCGATGTGGAGAGCGATTTCCTCCACGCCGACGTCGCCGAAGCATCTCCGACGTCGCCGATGCCTCCGCGATGCGGCGCGATTCTCCGACCCCACTTGCTCCGACCCCATCTGGGCAATCTGGGCAAGCATTGGTCAGATGTACCGCTACCCTTCTCTCGTTTTCCCCTTTTTGGGTCTCCCAGGGGCGGCCCTCGTCGTCACCGCTGGATTCGCTTCGAACTCCTGGGCAGAACGCACCCTGGGAGAGGTCCGGGGAGTAGCAGTATCTGTACCTTTCGGTTTCCCCAATTGGGGTCCTCTTGGAACCTTCGTGGGCTCTTTTGGGGGTTCGGGGCAGTGTTGGGCCGTTTGGGGTGCACCTTGGCGCTCCCTGAAGCCCCCCGAGGCGATCTGAAGCCGAAGAGCTTCCGAAGCAGCCACGCTTGTTTTCCGTCTGTTTTTCAACGGGGCTCGCTTCTGAGGGCCTTTGAGGTCTCTTGGACCTTCTTGGGGCATATTGGGGATCTTGGAGCTCGATCTGGCTCGTTGGGCCGTCTTTGGATCGTCGTGTGGCGGCTTTCCAGCCGTTTTAGGGCGGTCTCTGGCGGTGTTGACTGGCTTGGGCCCCCCCCGGGAATCCGAAGCTCACGCTCTTCAGACTGTCTCACGCTTGGGGTCGTCTTGGACCATCTTCGTAGCGTCTGCACGCTCTCTCTGCAGCCTTCCCGAGGCGATCTGAAGCCGAATAGCCTCGAGAGCAACACACATGTGGGAGCTTCTCGCGTGCTCCCGTCATACAGTCGAGCATTTAAGAAGCCTCTCCCCGAAAAGCTGGACCAGCGTTTCCTCACCGACTTGCCGGAAAGCTGGCCCAGTTTCGTGCACGTGCGCGCCCTCCAGCGTGGACAACAGGTCTTGGTCCAGGTTTTTTTCTAGACATCTCACAGGAGTTGGCCCAGATTTCTTGAATGATAGTTTTCTTGACTACGGTTTCGTTTGTAAGAGTTTCAACGCGGAGTGATCCCGGGTTGCCTGGCCAGCCGGTGCCGGGAGACCTGGTTGTTGTCAGAACTGATGGTCCCACCCGAGGGACACGCGCGTCGAGACGCTGTCGAGGTTGGGAGGCGAACCCGCCCGTTTCGCCTGAAGCATCCTCGTGACTCTGAGTTTCCAGATGCTGCGCGGGAGGTGGTCCGGTCCTTTTTCGCCAGAAGCACCCTCGCAGTTCCAGGATTGGAGATGCAGGGTCCTGACGCGGCCCAGCCCGCTTCCCCTGAGACATGCGTGCAAATCTGGGCTCAGGGATGCTCGGGGCGGACTGTGCGATACATTGGAATTGTCTTCTGGGAGGTGCAAGCACGTTCTCACCAAAGTTGTGGGACATCTCAGCCGTGAACATCCGTTTTACCTTGCGCAGGTGTGATGATGTTTGTCTTGTTGTTGTCAAGAACTAGTTTCGCCAGGTGGACCTGCACATCAAGACATTCTCAAATTCTGAGGTGTCCCGGCATGCTTCGCCTAAGACATCATCGCATCTTCGTGCTTCGATGCGACGGTGCTGCGCGCGAGATGGTCTCTCTCGTGTGGCCCAGATGAGGAGGAGGAGGAGGAGGAGGAGGAGGAGGAGGAGGAGGAGGAGGAGGAGGAGGGGGGAGGAGGAACAGGGCGAGGAGGAGGAGCAGGAGCTGTAGGAATAGGCTACTCCTTCAGACCATTAATTTTTGACAAGGAACGGCTTGTTGTAGTTGAAGGTGACCGGCTGCCACTGACCTGGACACCCTCGGCCGAAGGCTAGTAGAGGGTGAGGAGGGAAGCGGCCATTAATCGCCCAAGGCCATTCCCGGCCCGAGTCAGAAAGAATGGGGCGACCCTCACAAACTAATTAAGACACCAACTCAACCAAGCCAGCTTGGTTCCGAGTCCCGCGAGGAGAGGGAGTGGAGGAGGTATGACGAGGCCGCTGGGGCTTCTCTAGTAGGGGCTCCACCCTCCGCCGGCAGCGGCGGCCGGGCGTCGTGGGGGTGGGTGGTAAAAGCTCTCGTGTTCGGCTCCGGGGCGTGCAGCCGCACCACTGGCACCACAGCACACCACCAGCCGGGGGGGGGGGGGCGGGGGGCGGTCGTCGGTGTCGGGGGCGGTCGTCGGGGGGCGAAAGCAATGGCCTCCCAATCAGACCTGTGTCGCCAGGCCGAAAGTTTAGCAGCGCAGGCGGCTTCCCATCGTTCGGGGGAGTAAGAGGAGGAAAAGGTGAGTTGCCAAGGCTGCTGGTGTGGATTTTTGCAGGTCCGCGCGTGCACGGCCCCCCAGGTGCCTGGGTCGCCAAGGGTGGCTCCAGGCGGCGATTTTGCAAGGGTGGCAACCCTATAGGCGAGGAGGAAGTCGCCCCCAGAAGAGCTTGGTGACCCCGATGGCCCACATAGGCCCTTAGATGTGCGACGACCCTCTTCGTCGCCAAGCTCGCCAGGGCCTGCGACGAAGCCTGGGAGGACGACGTGCAGAACAAACCATGGTGCGAGAGAGAAGTCACGTATTTGCTCCTGCTGGGCCAGGGCGGCTCCTCGAAAACGCACGTGGTGCAGAAGATCGTCTTCCCAGTGGTGGAGTATTTGTGACCCTCGCTGGCGCTGGACAAGGCCACCAGGTCGAACGAGCCAGCACAGAACTTCTCCGCGGAGACGGTGGAGGCCAGAACGCTGCACAATGCCTGTGTTCTACGAGCCCAGGAATACATCAATGCGAAGATGAGGCTGGGGGGCATGCAGAAGGGAGCACGTCGGCGTACTTGCAATCGAGGAAGTGAGCATGGTGGCGGCCGCGCTGTACAACGCGCTGGACCCTAGCGCCTGCCGTGGACGAAGTGACACGCGCGACGCGCAGGAATGCATCTACAAGCGACCGCACCGCCACCTCGGGAACGGTCCCATCGTTGGGCACCCTGGCGACTTCCTGCAGCTGAAGCCCACCGGCAGCACCGGCCTGCTGACGGACGTGAGCGAGCTCCTGGACGACGGGTCCTGCGGAGCCGCCGACGGTAGAACTTCAGTGCGCCATCAAGGTCGTCTCTGAGATTTCTCGTCTTCGAGCTGAAGGGCACGAAGCGGTTCGAGCCCAGGGGCTTTCTTATCGCGTTCTGAGGCTGCGAGAAGCCCGTCACGCCAGAGGTCTGGTCCGCCTGGGAGAACTCGTTGGCTTCGGACAACCGCGGCGTCCTGGGCCCTCGGCACTGGCATATAAACCGTCGTCTCGGATGCTGCAAGGGGATCTACTGGGAGATGCTTGCGAAGTGGATCAAAGCGCGTGCTCCTCGCGCCTGTGCGTGCCCCTGGTTCTCCTGCGGGCCGCGGACGAGCGCAGCAGGATTCACGGCGATCCCGACGCGGGCCGGCGCCTCCTTAACGTCCCGAGCGTGCACGAGACGGGGAACGTCCACGGCGTCTTGCAGGCGCGCGTCGGCATGAAGGTTCGGTTCGCGGCATTGGATGAGGAGCTGAAGATGAAGTTGGGGCTTTTGCAGGAACAACGGGCCTTCTCGCGTCCTTTGAGTTTCACCCGCGTGACGAGCAGCAGAAGAGGCGCGCGCTGGGCAAGCACTTTGCGCCCCCGCTTCCTTCCGCAGGAAAGGCGCGGGCGCGCTGCTTCAAGTGGTCTCCGATCTACCGGGAGGCCGCCGACCAACGGGGCGACGGAGGCGCTGGCGACGACGCTGCTCAGATTTAGGCCCAGCGAGCAGGAGTTGAAGTGGCAGAGCTCCGGGCCGAACGTCGTGCGCCACTCGGGGTTGCCCTGGCGCACGCGCCCCACTTGAATTCCACGCTTTCGTAGGGGCTGCGCCACGGATGAGGTCGCTGGCCGCGGGGGCATGTTTATGTTCTCGCGCGCCACGCGCGCGTGGAAATCATTGATTCCCCGGGCGCCTACGCGAAAGCGTTGATTCCCCGGGCGCCTACGCGGGAGTTGTTTGGGCGCGGGCCGTCGGCGCCCCTGCGGAAGGCACTCGGGGAATTCGACGAGAAAGCGGAGAGCTCCAGGGCTGAAGCGGGCCAGCTCGCGGCAGAGCTTGGCATCGCGCTTCTTCCCGCCTGAGCGCGGCCGCGACTAGCTCGTGGCCTGGGGGTTCCCAACGGCTTGCGCCCACGCCTCAGCGATTCGCGGGGTTGTCCCAACGGCCTGGCCCGCGGGGCTGCCCCAACGGCTTCGCGATCCGGCCATCGGAAAACGCGCCCCTGTTGGCCGTGGCGGCGACGGTACCGAAAAACATCGAGGTGCACGCCCTTGCTAGTGGGGTGGGGGAGGAGGTGGATAGGGCAGGGGGCAAGGGGCGAGGAGGAGGCAGAGCAGGGGGCGGGAAGAGGGCTTCCGCCAGGGCGAAAGAAGGGAAGAAGATAACTTTTGCATTCGCACGGCGATGAGTATTGCTTCCGAGTAAGTTCTGGGGGGTCCCCACGTAAGGTCCGACGACCGTCTGGGTATTTTGCGCAAAGGGGTCGCGAGTGTTGGACTGGCGTGAAGACTGGCATACGTGCACCAAATCGTACTTACCAGTCCGATGGCAGGTGCCGGGTCGCTGTGAAGACCAGCTAATGTTCACAGCGTAGCACCGCGTTGTATGTTTCGAGTGAATCGACCGTGCAGGTATGGAAGAACAGATGCGCACCGCGTGTCGTTTTTTAACGGCATCGCGGGGGTGGGGTGGGGAGGGGGTGGGGGGGTGGTGTGAGTGCGTTTGTGTGTGTGCGGGTATATATATATATATATGTATATATATGTATACACACATCTGTGTGTGTGTGTGTGTGTGTGTGTTGGGGTGGGGTCGGGTGCGGATGGGGTGGATGTGTGTGGGTGCGGTGGGTGTGGGGTGTGGGGTGTGTGTGGGTGTGGGGGGGGGGGGGGCGAAATCGGAATGTGCACGACCCGCGCGCGGGCACGGGGATCGTGGGGGGTCGGACAAACATATTTGCACCGAGTGGCATTTTCCGTACGGAATCGCGAAGGTGTGCATGCGAGCGTGCGTGCGTGCGTGCGTGCGTGCGTGCGTGCGTGCATGAGAAAAAAGAGAGATGTGTGTGTGTGTGTGTGTGTTTGTGTGTGGGTTGTGTCGGAGGTGTGGGGTGGTGTGGGTGGGTGGGGTGGTGGGTGGTGGCGATTGAGATACGCAGATACGCACAATCCGTGCACGGGCACAGGGCTCGTCAGGGTTTGGAAGAGCCGATGCGCACCGCATAGCATGTGTTGCAGGGGATCGCGGGCCAAACGAAATCGGGATAGGCACGATCCGTGCGCGGCCGCACGGGTCGCGGGGGTCAGAAGTTCGATGATGTGAACTCGCGTGACGGACGAGGGCTACGCCATAACATTTATACTGTGGATTATTGGTTAGGGCTCATAGCCCAGGGCGTAGCGGTTGAAACTTCGGCTTTGTGCGTAAGGCCTTGGGATTTGGGTTGAAGGCGTAAAGCTTAAGGCTTAGCATTTCGGGCTTAGGCTTCAGGACTTAACGATCCGGGCTTCGAGCTTAGGGCTGGGGCTGAGTCCGACGGCTTCAGGCTTAGGGTGTAAGGCCCCAGAATTTGGGTTTAGGGCTTAAGGTTTATGGCTCAGAGGGCGCAGGGTTGAGGGCTCGGTCTCACGGCATTGGGCTTTGTGCTTAAGTCTTCGATTTCAGGACATGGGGCTAAGAGCTCAGGGCGCCTTGGGCTTAGGGTTTCGCGCTGAGCGCGTAAGGCTCAAAGCTTGGGGCTTAGGGCTCAGGACAGAGGGCTTATGGCGTAGGGTTTTTTGGTTTAGGGTTCAGGGCCTAGGGCCGAGGGCTCAAGGCTCAGGGCTCACATTGAGGGCTCAGGAGTCAAACCTTAGGGCTTAGGGTTTACATGTACGTTTCAAGGCTTAGGGCTTATCGTCATCCGCTTAGGGCTTAGGGCTTGGTGCTTCGGGCATAGGGTTAGGGCTGGAGGGCTCAGGACTTTGGCTTAGGGCATTGGGCTTAAGGGCTTAAGGCTCGAGGCTTGATGCTTCGGGATTATAACTCAAGGCTTGGGGCCTATGGCTCAGGGACCAAGGCTTAGGACCTACGGCTCAGGCCTTCGAGCTGGGGGCTTCCAGGGGGGGGGGGGGCTCGCAGAGGGAAAAGGGGGAACAGAGGCGGGAGCGGGGGGGTCTTCTGGCAGGGGTGCCCGTGTTGGTGAGTGTGGGGGGCGGGGGGGTAGCTTCCGGAGAGCGGAACAACTGGGAGAGAAGGGGGGGTGCGACAGGGGATGTTTAAGAGGGGGAGGAATCTAGCTAGGGAGGGCCCCCCCCTGGCGCTGTCTCTCGTGGCGCGCTCTCTCAGATGTAGCCAGAGGAGGAGGAGGAGGAGGAGGAGGAGGAGAAGGAGGTGGAGGAGAAGGACAAGGAGGACAAGGAGGAGGAAAACCTCTTTTGCTCCTCCTCCTTCTCCTGCTCCTCCTCCTCATCCTCCTCATCCTCTACCTCTTCGTCCTCCTCCTCCTCCTCCTCCCCCTCCCTCTGAACTGGTGGAGGCCGGATATCATCAAATACTTGTGTCTCATGTGTGCTTTGGGATTCCACCAATCCTTACCAGACTTGTTTCTTTGGGTTTTCAGGAGGTCCGCCAATTTGACCAGGAACGCTTGCGGCAGGAGCATTCCCATCCAACCCTACCATACAGATGTTAGTTGTGATTTTCCGTACTGGGCGACCACCAGCACATACTCTATGTTGTTTTGTTATTGAGAGGTCTTCACAGTTTGGCCAGACGCAACACCAAACCACCTGCGTATAGTAGTATTATTTGGTTGGCATGCGCGTGCCGCAAGCGCTCCAGGCCCAAATGTGCGATCTTCCTGGTTTGATTGCGTCCCATACCCGACAGCACAACTGGTCTATATCAGTGTTTGGTGGTATGCGGGCATCGCCAGATCAGAAGGAGGATGAGGAACAGGCGGGGGAGGAAGAGGAGTAGGAAGTGGCGGAGCCCACATTGATGATCATGCAGGAGGGCGTCGAGGAGGAGGAGGAGGAAACAAGAAACGGAGGACGAGGGAGAAACAAAAGCAGGAACATCTCCTAAGGACTATCTGTATACATATTATATACATATGTGCCTGATGACGCGAGGGGGGCGGCCGTACGTATCTGTATGAATCGACGAACGCATCCATATTTACATATGGATAAAAGCATGCGTGGACACACGTATCTACATACATGCATACATGCATGCATACATGCATAGAGACGTACGTACGTACGTTCGTACGTTGATACCTTCTCTCATTCATACGTGCATACATGCATACATACTCGGCTATACAGATATGAGCAGACGCTAATGTAGGGCCGCGAGATCGTGGCCGAGTGCACGGGCAGAGGCACACCACGGTGGTCGAGGCCATCTCTGCCGTCGGGCGGAGGACGGCGGGCTCCGCGCCCACCCGCCCAGGCGGAGGACGACGACCCCCGGCGCGTGTTCGACACCGCGCGGGCCTGGGCGCGCGGCCGCCCATCCCTGCTCGCCCCTTCCCTCCTTCCTCCTTCCTCCTCCTTCCACCATCCTTCTCCTTCCTTCGTCCCTCCTCCTCCTCCTCCTCATCCTCCTCCTCCTCCTCCTGCCTCTCCTCCTCCCTACTCCTCTTCCTCCTCCTCCTCCTCCTCTTCCTCCTCCTCCTCCTCCTCCTCCTCCCTACTCCTTCCTGCTCCTTCTCCCACCTTCTCCCTCCTCCGTTTTCTTCCTCTCTCTTCGCCTCCTTCCTCCTCCCTCCTCCTTCCTCCTCCCTCAGCCGCCTCCCTCTTGCTCATCCTCTTCCTCCTCGCTCCTCCTCTTCCTTCTCTTCCTCCTGTCCCAGCTATTTTTTTCTATTGGTGGCCCAGCCTTGCCACCTAGCCCCGATCCGGCCGATAGCCGCCTAATCTGGTTCCTTCCATCCAACCTGTCGACCAACAAACAGAAAGTGTCGATATTATTCCTCTAGCAGAGGTCTGTTGGCGTCGACATTGCAAGATGAGTGGCAGGAACGGGTTTGGACGCATATCGCGCGCGAAGGGGAAAAATGTTTGTGTCCTGCAGGAAGACGCTCGTCCTTTCTAAGGGTCGAGATTCCGATTGGGCGCGGCGCACATGTGTGGCTCGCCAATCCGTCGACAGCAGGGTCGCGCGAAATGAAGCTATCGCATGAAGCGCCGCGCAGAGTTCGCCTGGACGTGGCGCTCCCGTTCCCAGGCGCAGCGCATCTCGTTCACTCGCCCGGTCGTCGGGAGCGGCCGCGGGAGTTCGGGCGAGTTGTCGCCCCCCCCCCACGCTCCGCGCAGATATCGTGTGAGAGTGGAGTTCCCGCTGGAGCGCTGGGACTGTTCGCTCATCGAGTCGATAGAGATTGGCTGGTGAGTTCTTGGGTTCGCCCCAGCGCAGCGAAGTTTTTGCGAGAGCGTACCCGTGCTGCTTCGGCGCGGTGCACTATGTCAATACAGCCGGCCCCATCACACCCTTTGAGCTTCGTGTCCGGGAGGTATTGCAGCGACGAGGGTTGCTTTGACGGCTCGGGCCCCCCATGATGCCAGGGCTGGGTGGGTTGTCGTTGAGATTTCGGCTGGGGGCGACCTTATCCGAGGCAGCCCCTGTCCAGTGCCCGAGAGAGTTCTCCAAGTTGTTACGGGTGCGGATCACTCAGCAGCATGTGCGTGTCAGCGCCATGTCGAAGGAGGTTCCTGTGATGAGATTGCTCCCAGGGGGTCCCTGCCCTTCTTCCTTTCACCTCTTCCAGAAGTTCCTTGCGCTTGGTTTGTCAAGCCGTGGTGTGGTGTGTCGTTCACGCACGTTTGCAGATAAAGCGACATGCAGCCCAAAGCGCGGGCTCCTGGAGAATAAGTGGCAGGCCCAGATAGGTTGAAGCAAAGTCAAGGCACACCGCCTTAGAGGATGACGCTGATATCGTCTCAGATGTATGTCATGTCCTTGGCAGCACTTAAGCGGACCATCAGGCAAAGAAGGCGGCCTGTAGGACAATGTTTTGCAATGTTGATCTTGAGGCCTTCCTTCTCCGAAGCAGCCAACTCGCAGAGTAAGGATGGGCAACCTTCCCAAGGGTACCCTTGCATCCGTGCCTCCTCGGTCCATCCTTCGCTGCTTCTGTTGGCCGCGCCCCGCTCGAAAAGCTTCGAAACGGGCGCCCAAAGCCCGTGCATCCTTATCGCGCATCCTTGTGATGCGGGCCGGGCGTACACGTAACTTGTACGAGCAGGTTGGCCGAGAGCACGCTCCACGCTCTGCCCCGTGGCCCCCGCCTGCGGACACGCTCGGGGAACCGAGTGTCCGGAGCTCGAACGTCGTTGGCCTTTGCTGCCCTTCCCCCCCCCCCCCCCGAGCGTCCAGTCCAGGGTGGGACTGTTCTGGTTGGGCGTGCCGGTCGTGGCATCTTTCGGGCCGGACGAAAGGGGGGGATTGGGAAAGGGGGGGTTACGAAATCTGCTGCATGCAGCTGGTTTCGGCCCCACCGAGGGGCCCATTCCTCAAAACATAGCCGCCTCGGGCGCCGGGAGGCGCCAGGAACATCAGCTACGTGAGCTGATTCTCAAACCCCCCTTTGCTATCCCCATCTTTCGCCGGGCCCGAATCTTTCAGGAGGCGAGCAACTTGCCACTGAAACGCGCATTTCTTTGCCACCCTCCATGGGCTGATCAGGCGTGCCAGGGAACCCACTTTTCAACTCTCCCTCTGGCTTGGTATCGCTCGGACGTGTGCACTTCATCTCGGCAGGGACTATTAAGGAGCGTCCTGGATCATCCTGCGAAAAACAAAACACGCACGAAACCGACAAAAGCACAGGGAATGGACGTCCGAGCGATGGCCAGCTGGGTGGCTCTGGTAAAGGTCGGCCAGCATGCCGGCTTTCTGTTGTGGGCTGTACGGGGGCATCACGGTTTTTGAGAGGGCTCCCAAGCCCCGCGGCCCGTGTCGACTGCTACCCGCAGGCAGGTCTGACTTGAGGAAGTTGCGGAAGGTGATCCTGCCAGGAGGTACTGAACAGAAGCCCGTGCTCAAACGCTCGAGTCTTCACCGAGTCCATTCCGACCATCGTCCCGACCTGAACGAACAACAACCGACACCACGAAAGTTGGGCCTCTTGAGGCCGTCCTTGCGACCGTCAAAGCCATGTGGGATGCCAGAATTTGTGAGGACCTGGAAACAAACAAGGGGTCGATGGCCAGCGAGGGAGAGGAGGGGAAGGATGAGCAAGGTAGGGGAGAGGAGCAAGAGAGGAGGCAGGAGTCGGAAGAAGAAGAAGAAGAAGAGCGATGGAGGATGAGTACCCGATTGCATCAACTATGTTGTAGCACACTCTCCCGTCGCAAGTTCCCTCGCCGAAAGGCCTTGCAAGCAGTCCTTCTCACTCCAGGACGCAGCCCCTTTGATACCACTTGCGGGGCGCAGGCCCCACTGGCCTGCAGTTCCGGCGAGAGGCCTGTCTCGCAAAGGAGCCGTCCGGCATCCTTCGATCCAGAAGCAGCGCGACGAGGTGCGATCAGAACGTTCGAGGGCGTGTCCAGTGATAGCCTCCGAAAACCACCGGAGCGCTCGCCCCCCTCAGCCCACCCACCGTCCAGATGTTTCGCGTACTGGCGCACACTTCCACAGTTTTCAATATTCGAGACAGCCCGATGCAGAGAGGGAGCCGCCGTCCAGCATCGTAGCCGTTGCGCCGTTTGTTTTACATCTGGCAATATGTGCGAGGGAAGTCTTCAGCCAGAGCCCCATGTTGAGACAGGGAGTGCCCTCCACCCTCGTATCAGTTGGACACGTGTAACAAGTAATGTGCGCGGCGCTAGGGCCAGAGCCACATCTCGAAAGGGAGCTGCCTTCCGTCTTGCTACACGCCTGGCTTGAAGACAAGGAAGGTGCTCGGCGTCTCAGTGAGAGCCACGTAGTAGAACCGCCCCACCTCCATCCGTATAACGGTTGGAAGTTTGTCAGGCGAGTGTGCGCGGCTTATGGGTAACAGGTACATCTTCAAACGATTCGCCTTCATCTTTTGTGGCTCTTGGGAAGTTCAGTCCTCAGGATCCTAAGAGAGGTAGGTTTCTGGCAAAACGCCATGCCCGCACTACCGACACGCGTGATGGTGCGAATGCTGAGTTATCGATAAAGACGAGGTTGGATGCGGAGGAGGATGAGGAGGAGGGGGAGGAGGAGGAGGAGGAGGAGGAGGAGGAGGAGGAGGAGGAGGAGGAGGATAATAAGCAGATGATGATCCTGGGCCCTCGCGACCTCACCGATGCCCTCCTGGCCTTCCTCCTGAATCTCCCCTCCCCCAGAACGTCTCAGAACCTCCTGGTTGCCACCTCCAATCCCCTGAGAGCTTCTCGGGATCCCCAGGCCCAGGCCCCGCAAGAGCCCCCCCGCCCTACTCGCGACCATCCTTTTTCACCCCCGCCGTCCGCCCCTCTCCTCCTTCCCTCCGCCCCCACCTCCCCCTCCTCCTTCTCCTCCTCCTCCCCCCCCTCCTCCCCCCTCCTCCTCCCTCCTCCTCCTCCTCCTCTCCTCCTCCTCCTCCTCCTCCTCCTCCTCCTCCTCCTCCTCCTCCTCCTCCACCGACTGCTGACGCAATTGCGTCGGCGTGCAGCGCAGCACGGGCCCTGCTCTGGCGTTAGTTGCCGCCCCGTCGCGCCGAATGGAAGTGGGCCCGCGGCAGCGAGCCAGGGAGACCGCGTCGAGTCGAGCGCCCTCCTTGGCGTTCTCGGCTCGCCCCCAAACGAATTATGGGGACTCCTCCCCCCCCCTCTCGCCCTCCGCCCTCTTCCCCCCCCCCCCTCTCCAGCCCTTTCCTCCCCTCCTCGCCCTCCTCCCTCTCCGCCGCGAGCCCCGCGCCAGGCGAGCTCCCCGCACGCGACCCTGCCGGGCGGCAAGGCCCTCTCCAGCGCCGCCGCTCCGCCCGCAGAGGTCGGGGGCGGCAGCGAGGGGGGGTGCTGGCTACAGGGGAGACCCATGCCAAGAGACGCCCTGCTCGCCTCCAGGGTGCCCTGGGCTTCCTGGGCTTCGGTGATTCTGCTGTGGCGAGCGTGACGTTCCCACACCCCCACGCTCTGGGGTCTCAGGGTTGGCTTCCTCGCGGTCGGGCCTCCACTGTAGGGAGGGGGGACGTCATGGCGGGGGCCATATGATAGCTCCCCAGATTGCATGGCCCATGTTCTTGTCTCACTGCGTCTCCTGGACCCCCCCCCCTGGGCCGCGCACATGCTTTGCCGCCCCCTCCTATTGGACGCCTCCCTCCTGGACGATCCCGAAGAGGGGGGGGCTCCCCCAGGGGTGGGGCAGTGGGGCGGGCGAGAGTCATATGATCGGCGGCGAGCGAGGGGGGGCAGGGAGTCGAAGCAGCAGGCCCTCTCGGGAGGCTGCGGGGAAGAGTGCCCCGGCCTTGTGTGAAGAGTGCTGTGCCGTGTCTTCGGGGGAGGCTCAGAGATAAGCTGCTCGGGAGGCCGTAGGACTTTCGAGCCTGCCGAAAAGGCCCGGCCCCCTCTCACTTGCCCACCCCCGGGGGCGCCGCCGATCGGAGGAGAGACAGCGGCCACCACCACCGAGACCCCATTCCCGGGGGGGGGGGGGGTCCCCGGGGGGGGGGTGGCGCTCGGGCGTGCCACCGCCATCGGGGGCCAGCCTCCCCCCGAGGGGTTCTCGGTCGAGCAGTGGTTCCCGATGCCTCCACTGGGAGAAGCGTGTCGGACGAGCGGAGGGGGGAGGGGGGCGGGGGAGGGGGGGAGGGGGGGCGACACCTGTCGCCGCGCCGCTCGTGCCGACGCGCGGCCGCGCGCCTCGGGGAGGGCGCCTCGGCCACCGGGGCAGTCGCCGCCTCGGGCGCGGGGGGCTCGCCGTGGAGATCTGCCTCGCGGCGGCCTCGTCTGCATGGGGTGCGGGGCGCAGGGCTTGGCGCGGGTCTGCCGTGGTGTCGCCTCTGTCCACTCGGGCGCGTCGAGGATCGGGCCGGGCGAAAGGGGGGGATCGCGAAGGGGGGGCTTGAGAGTCAGCTCACGTAGCTGATTTTCCTGGCGCCTCCTGGCGCTGGGAGGCGGCCATGCATCGAGGAATGGGCCCCTCGGTGGGGCCGAAACCAGATGCATGCAGCAGATTTCGTACCCCCCCCCTTTCCCTCTTCCCCCCCTGTCGTCCGGCCCGAGAGAACAAGCGGCGCGGCGACATCTGCTGCGCGCAGCCGCTCTCGTTCCCGCCGCCAGGCGCCCTTCCCCGATGTGGGGCAGCCATCTGCGTGAGCTGATGCACCAACCCCCCTTTGCTACGAATCGGTCGTTTAAAGTGTGTGTGTGTGTGTGTGTGTTGTTTTTTGGGTCCCCAGCGTCCACTGTACCACAGGCGCCCTCCTACTTTCTCGTTCCATTTCGTCTGCAGGGGGCGGGGGGGGATATCTAGTCTGCTCCTCACGCCTTCCGACCTCATCTTTCCACCCGCTTCTTCCGACCGAGGGGACCTTGCCCCTCGGCCGACCTGGCAACAGGGCGGCGGCTCCGCGGTGCGGACAGGTCACCGCGTGGACGACGCTGTGCGCCTCCAGGGGCGTGAGACGGCCCCACCTCCACGGGCGGTCGACCATGACGGCAGCGGGCTGGAGCCCGACACAAGGGGGCGTAGTGCCGCGGCGCGCTGGGGCCCCTAGGCCCCACCCCCCACAGAAACCATGCAGCGAGGAGGAGCTGATGAGGGCCCAGGTCGGCCCCAGGAGGGCCGCGGAGGGCCCAAGGCTGCCGGTGGTGGCCGCTGCGCCATGGACAGGCCGCTGGCATAAGGACCGCTCTGGGCTCGGGAGGTGGTCTTGATTTTGGGCCGTTCCTCCGATCTAGGTCTGGGGACCTCTTCGCGGCCCACGCTCGCCGTGCCCAGAAGAGCCCTTTCGTCCCGTGCTCGGCGTTCCTCATTCGGCCTTCCTTGCGCCCATCCGAACGTCTTTTTCCTGGACTCCAGTTTTTGTCAGAGAAAATCAAGAATCAGGACTGTACCATGGGCGTTTTCTTGGAGCTCCTTGACTTCGCATAAGCATTCGCAAATCTGGACCTGGACTGCTCCCTAAGACAACGCTTGGAGTGAGAACCATTTCCTTAGCGTACAAATTTCTGAGCCCTGAGCAGGGGTGCATGGTACAGTCGACCCGCAGAGGAAGGATGGGCATCCCTCCCAAGAGTACCCTTGCATGCTTGCCTCCTGGGTCCATCCTTCGCCCCGTTCGTTGGCCGCGCCCCGCTCGAAGAGCTCCGGATTGGGCGTCCAACGCCCTTGCATCCTCATCGCGCATCCTTCCTCTGCGGGCTGACTGCAGCACGATGGCTGCACGGCGGCTGGGTCCCGTGCACAGCCTCGCGCGCCGCGCAGGCTTGGCATCGCTCGGACGTGTGTTTTTTTCCTTCGGCGCGGACCTCCGCGGAGCATCCTTGCTCATTTCGCGCTAAAGCCACGCACGAAACCGAACAAAAACACACGAAATGGACATCCGAGCGATGGCCAGCAGGCGCCCTCTCGGAGTCGGGCGTGCGGCCCCGCGCCTCGCGCACGTGGGCGGGCGGCGCCCCCTCGCTGCAGGCTCCGCGCACGCCGCGGGGCGCCCCCGGGGGGCGGCGGAACGGCAGGGCGCCGAGGGGCCTGCAGTGGAGGGAGGGATGGGATGGTGATGGTGGCGATGATGATGATGATGATGATGATGATGATGATGATGATGATGATGATGATGATGATGATGATGATGATGATGATGATGATGATGATGATGATGATGCTGATGATGATGATGATGATGATGATGATGATGATGATACTGATGACGATGATGATGATGATGATGATGATGATGATGATGATGATGATGATGTTGATGATGATGCTGATGATGAGGAGGATGAGGATGAGGATGATGATGCTGATGCTGATGGTAATTGTGATGATGCTGATGTTACTGATGATGATGACTGCTGATGACGATGGTGATGATGTTGATGATGATGATGCTTATGATGATGCTCATGATACTTATGATGATGCTGATGATGATACAATGTTGACGATGCTGATGCTGGTTGTGCTACTGATTAGGGTCTTGGGTGATAAATATTGATTGTCTCTGTTCGATGTTAGATGGTGGTAATGCAAATGGTGGTGTGATGATGGGGGTGCAGATGATGGTGTTGATGACGACGTGAACGACGTCGAGGATGCTGCTGCTGTTGTCGACGACGGAGACGACGATGCTGATGTGGTTGATCATGACGATGATGATAAGTATGCTGACGATGCTGCTAGTGATGATTCCGCGGTCATTGAAGGTGAGCGCGGTGACGACTATGCTGAGTCGATGTTGACGCTGATGATGGTGATGATGGTGATAATGTGTAGTGTTGTCTTGATGATGGTGATGGTGATGATGATAATGTTTGCGACGATGACTGTGGTGGTGCTGATGGTGGTGATGCTGATGATGACGATGATTATGATGCAGATTATGGTGATGAAGATGATGCTCATGATGCGGATGATGATGCTGCTGATCATGATGATGAATCTGATGATGATGCTGCTGCTACTGATGATGATGCTGATGGTGGTTATAATGCTGCTGATGATATACTGATGATGCTGACGATGATGACGCTGATGATGATGATGATGATGATGATGATGATGATGATGATGATGATGATGATGATGATGATGATGCTGCTGCTGCTGCTGCTGATGACGAGGATAATAATAAGGATGATGGTGACAGGATGGTGCCGAGGTCAAGGGTGATGGCGATGCTCGGCTCTGCCTGTTCTGGCCCACCAAGCTTCGGGGCCGTGCCCGTTTCCAGGAGGCGCCCACGACCCACGCTTTTCCGAGCCTCCCGCCCCGCCGCGCGGAGCGGCACGCTGCTCGCCCGCAGGGCACGGCGTGCCGCCGCGATGCGCGGAGCACCAGTTGCCGACCGTAGCCCTCGCCCTCCGTGCTCGAAGCTGGTTGGCTCCCTGCCGCCGTGCCCCCTGTGTCTGCGCGATCGGGAGCCCTGAGACGGGGGTCCATGCAAAAAGGGGGTCCGCCAGAGCGCCGGACCTTGCAGGACCCTGCAGAGCCAGGGGCGCACGGACCCCAGCTTTCGTGCAGGATCCGGCAGGATCCTGCAGGGTCTTGCAGGACCCCTCACAAAGCCTGCCTGGCCCGGGTGTGCACTGACCTTCGGTCGGTTGAAGTCCGACGTGAGCCGGGCGCCTCGCGCCGACGCGGCCACAGTGCCTCCTGCGGGAAGTCCCCGCGCGCCTCGCGCCAGCGCGGCGGCGGTGCCTGGCGCGGGTGCGCTGCGGGTCGAGAACGCCACCGGCGTCCCGGGCGAGGCCAGCAGTGAACGATGCCCGCTGGGTCGCTGGGTCTCTGACGAGGCCAGGGCGAGGATCAATTCGTTCCAGAGCGTTCCGGAACGCTCTCAGAGCGTTCCCGAACACTCAGAGCGTTCCAGAACGCTCTGAGGAGGCCGCGGCGTCCGAGACATCGTCCTGGACGATGTCTCGGACCGCGGATCCTAGAGCGCGGCCGTGCATCAACCCTGGGTCGGATCGCTGGGGATCCAGTCGCATGTGTGCACATGCGTTGCACCGTTGGTGGTGCCAACACCCTTTCTGTGAAACACCTTTGTGTTTTTTTTTCTGGTTACTCGTCCAGAGCCGCCGGATCTCAGAGGATCTCGATTTTCAGGGGCAACGACAGGGGGGGGTAGGCCGAGGGAGGGACGCATCGACGCCCGATCGCCGATTGGTCGCCGATGGCGGCCCGACAGCCCCAACCTGCCCAGGAAAGTGCGGATTCACTGGCGAGTGCCTAGCGCCGATCTAGCGGCGATGCCTCGCCGATCCCAGGTCGATGGCTCCCCCCCTTGCCAGCCCTCCCCCATGGTTGCCCCTCAGCGGTGCGGCCGTCCTGGCATGCCTGTTTATGGCGATTCTCCACAGCCAGTTTCGAGCAGTGGCGAAGCGTGCTGGCTTTCGGGCAGGCCCACCCACGATGTTCTAATGACCTGTTGTGGTCTGCACGAGGTGTTCTCAGGCCATGTCTGGCTGAGACGGCCCTGCTTTAACACATCGGGCTTCTGTTCTGAACGCGTTCTCCGCTCCGAGAACATCGTCGGGTTCGCCCTCGTCCTGGCCGAGGCCCCGTCGGCTCCGGCAGAGGGCCTCGGCCGCCGCGTGGGGCCGCGTGGGGACGGCCTCCGCCGCTGGCGGGCGGAGGAGAAGCTGTACCTGTACGGCTGCTTCAAGCAGGCCACGGACGGGGACTGCGTCGGCTCCTACCCCTGGACCGAGGAGGCGCCCCGGGAGGAGGAGGCAGAGAGATGCTGCGGCATGGTCGCAGACTGCGACCCGAATCGAATCGAACGGTTCTCGAGGAAGTTTTCTTACGTCTTGTGAAGAGGCACCGCTCGTTCGAAATCGAAGAAGAACGTCGATGCATCAAATGTTTACGTTTAGGCATAATCGATTGTTCTCGAAGAAGAAAATGCGGCATAAACGTAAACTCTTTGGCACTCCGCGCGGTTGGATCCGCGCTGGGCCCCCTGGCGGCGCCTCCGGCGCCGCCCCCGGCGCACTCCGCGAACCAGGGAGGGGGGTCAAGGTCAGATCCAAGAAACCCGCGCGGAGCGCCAACAACTTTTGTTTAGGAGGGGATAATGCCTATACCTCTTCCCTTCGGCCCGTTTCTTTTTCCCCACATCCTGAGTGGGGTTCTTGTTTCCCCAGAACATCCTCTCCTTCTCCCTCCCGCCTCCCGCCTCCCCTCCCCTCCAGGGAGGCCCCGCCTGAGCGAGGAGGGTATCGGAAAACCAATACTATTTACATGGTTTCGTGCTCCTCCCACCCCTCAGAGAGGCCCCGCCTGAGCGAGGAGGGTATCGGAAACCCATACCCTTTACATGGTTTCGTGCCCCTCCCAACCCTCCAGGGAGGCCCCGTCTGAGCGAGGAGGGCATTGGAAACCAATACTATTTACATGGTTTCGTGCCCCTCCCAACCCTCCAGGGAGGCCCCGCCTGAGCGAGGAGGGTATCGGAAACCCATGCTATTTACATGGTTTCGTGCCCCTCCCAACCCTCCAGGGAGGCCCCGCCTGAGCGAGGAGGGTATCGGGAACCAGTACTATTTACATGGTTTCGTGCCCCTCCCACCCCTCCAGGGAGGCTCTGCCTGAGCGAGGAGGGTATCGGAAACCCATCTTATTTTCATGGTTTCGTGCCCCTCCCACCCCTCCAGGGAGGCCCCGCCTGAGCGAGGAGGGTGTCGGAAACCCATACTATTTACAGTGTTTCGTGCCCTTCCCACCTCTCCAGGGAGGCTCCGCCTGAGCGAGGTGGGTATCGGAAACCCGTACTATTTGCTTGGTTTCGTGCCCCTCCTTCCCCTCCAGGGAGGCCCTGCCTGAGCGAGGAGGGTATTGGAAACCCATACTATTTATATGGTTTCGTGCTCCTCCCACCCCTCCAGAGAAGCCTGCCTGAGCGAGGAAGGTATCGGAAACCCATACTATTTACACGGTTTCGTGCCCCTCCCACCCCTCCAGGGAGGCCCCGTCTGAGCGAGGAGGGTATCGGAAACCCTTACTATTTACATGGTTTCGTGCCCCTCCCAACCCTCCAGGGAGGCCCCGTCTGAGCGAGGAGGGCATTGGAAACCAATACTATTTACATGGTTTCGTGCCCCTCCCAACCCTCCAGGGAGGCCCCGCCTGAGCGAGGAGGGTATCGGAAACCCATGCTATTTACATGGTTTCGTGCCCTTCCCACCTCTCCAGGGAGGCCCCGCCTGAGCGAGGAGGGTATCGGAAACCCATACTATTTACAAGGCTTCGTTTCCTGAGCACCTGTCCTCCCTCCTCCTTTCTTTCGTCTGCCCTTTCGTGCGTACTTTCTCGTTCGATGAGCTTCTCCTTCGTATTGATGTTGTCGTACCCCATGGGTCCCACGAAACCGTTCATATCTTTATGTGGGGAACTCCGTTAGCATAATTTTTGAACTCCTGGTCAGAAAGCCCCCCCCACCCCCAGAGAGGTCCGGGGAGTAGCGGTATCGGTACCTCCTGGTCTCCCCTGGCGCCCCGGGAGGAGGAGGCCCATTGTTCCTCGACCGCTGGGGGCTCCAAGCTGCCCCAGAGCTTCGGTGGGCCTCCGGGGCCATCGAGGGATCGGAAGCATCCGCGGGCCAGCTGCCGGCAGGCCGGTGTCGTGTCTGGCATGCACACGTCGTCGCGCCGCCTGTTCTCGGCGCGCGGCCTTCCGTCTTGGGGAGGGCGCCGTGGCCACCAGGGCAAATGGCCGCCTCGGGCGCGGTGAGCTGGCCGCGGGGTTTGCCGCGGTGCCAGCTGCGTCTGCTTGGGGCGCGGGGCGCAGGGCTTGCGGTGTGCCTGCCGTGCTGTCGGCGTCGTTCACTCGGGCGCGTCGAGAACGAGCGGCGAGGCGACGAGCATGCGTGCCAGATCAGGTGCCGGCCCGCCAGCAGGTGCCCCGCGGATGCCTCGTGTGCTCCGATGGCCCCACGGGCCCGCAGAAGCTCTGGGGCACCGTAGGGCCCTCCACGATAGACAATCGGCCTCAAGATTTCTGTCCGCGCGATTTCTCCCCCAGCGTGTGTCTCGTGCAAGGGGCACTGAGGCGGCGGCTGCGGGAGCGGGGCGACGGCGGTGTGGAGATGGGCGGTGGCCTCGGGCCTGCTCGCGCGGGCGAGCGTGGGCGGAGGGGGGGTGCCACGGTGCAGTTGGCACACCAAGAAAGGAATTGGCCTGTCAGCAGGTGCCCCCACGGAAAATTCGTATCCTCTGATCGCCCCAGGGGCTCATGAGAAGCTTTCGGGCACCTCAGGACCATCAGGGCTCGACGACTCACGTGCCTGCCGTCTTGCAAGAGCTCGTATCGAACAATTATGTGCTTGCCGCAGGACGAGGAGCACGAAGAAGAGAGTGAAGCAGCATGGTGATGGAGGAAACATGCGACCTTTAGGGGGGCCAGGGCAACCCAAGGCGTGCCGACGATGCCGCATTACACGCTCCCGTCACGAGTCCCCTCCTCATGAGGCCTGCACGCCTCTCTTCTCATTGCAAGAGGCGCCCCAGTTCAAGGACCAACACCTGTGGGCCTGTCATGCAGGCGAGAGCTCCGACTCGTAAAGGAACTGCCCTGCACCGTTCTGCGAACGAGGAGGGATAGCGCGTGGGATCTTGCAGCTCGGTGCGGTTTCCAGAGAGGTCCAAGCTTTGAGAAAGGACCGCCCCCACCCGTGCGACGCACATGCAAGCGCGCAAGCCTCCCGCGTAAGGCCGCGCGCAAGCGCCCACGCTTCGAAGGTAGCGTGCCGGTCGGGCGGCCCGCGTACGCCAGCGCGTAAGGCCGCTGTGCCATCTCGTGTAAGACCCCGCCCACCTTTCTTTTCGTCGCTCACCTGTGTAACTGCTTCCGGAGCGGCGCCTCCTCCGGCGCCGCCCCTGGCGCGCTCCGCGCGCCAGGGAGGGGGGTCCAGCGCCGATCCGAGAAATCCGCGCAGAGCGCCAACAGTTTTTATGTTTAGGTCACTTTTTGTTCCCCTAAATGCACCACCAGCCCTGTCCAGGTCCATCCTGGGCCCTGGACTGGTGTCCATACCTCCAGGCCTGGGCCAGGAGGGCCTGTACCCCGGTCCAGGGCCCAGGCTGGGCCTGGCCAGGGCTGGTGGCGGTGTGCTGCTTGGAGCTCTCCTCTTCTTCACACGGCCGCTTCCGAAACGTCCGATCGATCAGCCTCGAACGAGTGGCCGTTTCGGGAACGCCCGCTCGATCAACATCGACCGAGTTTGGGTCGCCGGCGGCGTTCAACGTTGATTTGCCAGCCTGGAACGTACCCCTATCCCTATGCTGGGCACCTCCTCATCACGATGCCAATCTTAGGGACTCCCTTACTTTTTGAGGGCGCACCCCTAAGGGACCGCCGGCGGCGGGGCCGCCGCCGGGCCGACGCGGCGCGATCTCACCGTGACGGCCTCGCACGGCCGCGCGTCTGGCCGTGGGCTTCGGGGGCGCCTCTCGAGCGGGCGAGCGGGGGCCCCCGGCTTGTCGAGGAGGCGCACTGCCCTCCCTCCGCACGGCCGTGGCACACGTGTACTTCTTCTGGTCGGGCCCGACGAGAGGGGGAGATTGGGAAAGGGTGGGGTGGGGGGGGAGACTCAGCTCACGTGTAGCTGAGTTTCCCGGCGCCTCCCTGCTCCGGGAGGCGCCCATGTATCGAGGAATGCGCTCCTCGGTGGGGCCGAAGCCAGCTGGATGGGGGATTGGGAAAGGGGGGGGTACGAAATCTGCTGCATGCAGCTGGCTTCGGCCCCGCCGAGGGGCGCATTCCTCGACACATGGGCGCCTCCCGGAGCAGGGAGGCGCCAGGAAACTCAGGTATACGTGAGCTGATTCTCCCCCCCCCCTTTGCTATCCCCCCTTTCGCCGGTCCCGATCTGGCCTTCTGGACTTCAGGGAGTCGTCGAGCGGGAGCCCCATTTTTCGTAGTGGCTTTTTCTTTGGAGACGAGAAGGGGCGCGCGCCGAAAAATCCATTCCAAACGCAGTAGCGTTGTTGTTTCTGATGGTTTCAGTGTGCAGGCGCGCCCAGCCGCGCGGCGGTTTCCCGGCACAAGAGCAGATGGTGGCATAGGATCGCGCCGGAGCGCCGATGTCGACTGCACGTAGAAGAGTGGCATTTCGCCCGCCGAAGTGGCTTTTGGTGCGGGCCCAAGGGGGTCCCCCGACCGCCGAACGCAATGCGGTAGCAACGTCCTGTGTGCTTCTGCTTGCCTCCCCCCGCGGCCCCCACACACAGCCGCGCACCAGAGGTCGCCCCTGCCCAGGGTCGCTCCTGCGTGCCTCGTCGGCGCTGCTTCGGCGAGGCGGCGCGGATTCACAGCGTGCCCCTTCCCACTTCCGTCGCCGCCGATGGGCCGCCGACGCATCGGCGATGCGGCGCGCTCCTCTCTGCCCCCCGCTGCCCCACGGGCGCCCTCGGAGCCGCCCCCGCGCCCCCGGAGGCCAGGGCCCAGTCCGAGTGGCAGGCCTGGCACTCCCAGAAGGGCACGTCCCGGGCGGAGGCCATGCGCAGGCCCCCGCCGCCGCGCCCGAAGCGAGGAGGGAGGGAGGGAGGGAGGGAGGGAGGGAGGGAGGGAGGAGGAGGAGGAGGGAGGGAGGAGGGAGGGAGGGAGGGAGGGAGGGAGGGAGGAGGAGGAGGAGGAGGAGGAGGAGGAGGAGGAGGAGGAGGCGGAGGAGGAGGTCCGCGTGCCCGGGCCCCGCGCTCGGGCCGTCGCGCCCTCCTCCGCTCGGGCCCGCCGTGCTCTCGCCGAGGGCCCCTCCCTCGAGCGGGCCTCTGCCCGGTCGGGCCGCGGAGGGCCCGCGCCTCAGCGGGCCCTGGGAACGACAGGGCCCGGTTCCGACGCCGTTTTTGTTACCGGCTCCGTCGCCGTTTTTTGACGGGTTCCGGCTCCGGTTCCAATCCTGGAGCTGTTTGTTTTTTGCCGTTTCTATCACAGATGTTGCCGGGCATTGAAAGTGCTAATCACGCAGTCGTGCCCTGTGTCTTCCCAACCCCCTCCTCCCAACACGATAACTGCGTTTGTTCCGTAAGCCTGCCTCGAAGACGCAGAAAGCCTTCAGAAGGCCAGAGGGCTTCTGAGAAGCCCCGCCGCCTTCTGAGAAGGCCTTCTTAGGCAACCGAACTCCACACAACAGACACCGAAGATTTTCTGGCCCTGCATTGAAATTTGCCCAGGAAAGCGGATTCTAATGTATACGGGATCCTGGTGTATACGTTTTTCGTTGTTCCCTTGGAAAACAGAAATCACAAGGTATACACCACACCGCCCCAACGTCGCCCCCGACCCTCAACAAAAAGTCCAGGGATGCGAAAACAGCCCGCCACCGGTCATGTATATGTTCCAGTTTCCGACTTCGCCTTGTCATTTCCCCCCTCGCTCGCAGCCGAAAAAGTGATCGTTTGTCCCAAACATCCTGTGGAGTTGGGTCCTCGTTTTGAAGAGACAGCGCCCCGCGTCTCACCTCCTCCCGCTGCCCCCTCCCTCCTTCCCCTCCTCCCTCCTCCCATTCCTGTGTGTCAGTTTTCCCCTATCATTGCCCTTCAGAAAAGGGCTGCATCGGCGATGTATCGCCGATGCCCGGTAGATGTGCCCCCCCGGGCCAGTCCCCCTTATTTGTTGCCTCTCAAACGAGGGTCGCCTCGGCGACGCATCGCCGATTCCAGGTCGCGGTGCCCCCCCTGTGCCAGTCCCCCCCGTACCGCTGCCCCTCAGAACAAGGGTTGTCTCGGCGATGCATCGCCGATTCCAAGTCGATATGTCCCCCCTGTGCCAGTCCCCCCCCCTACCGTTGCCCCTCGGAGAAGGATTGCCCTGTCTGCCCGCCAGGTCATCCCCGTGGCGTGGCCTTCGCCGCCAGAGGGGGGCGAAGCTCAGGGCGGTCCCAAGGAGGGCCAGCGGGCCCGCCAGGTCCGCAGCCGGCACTCGGCGTCTCAAGAGGGGGAGGAGGTGGAGGAGGAGGAGGAGGAGGAGGAGGAGGAGGTGGAGGAGGAGGAGGAGGAGGAGGGTGAGGAGGTGGAGAAGGAGTAGGAGGACCAGTGTCAACCCAAGGGTCATCAACGATGTTGGAATCTTCCCTCCCATCAAGCTCTCTCTTCACATGTCTCATACAACGGTTCGTTTCCACCCAGGGAAATGCCTCGTTGGAACAGAACCGTTTGGAGAGCGTGAATCATGCCAACACATTGCGATCGGGATTCCAATGCCACGGATCAACCTAATTTTTGCGCCTTGACGATCCTGAATCATGCCAGAACGCAATTCCTGGGACTTCAACACCGCGAATCAGTAACGGGTGCACCCTCATAGTCCTGAATCCTTCCAACACGCTATTTCTGGTACGCTGATCATGGGAGCCCATGGCACCCTGGCAAATGTTTGAAAACGAATGTGCGCGGCGCAAAGGCGAGAGCCACATTTTGAATAGGAACCGCCCTCAATCCGTGAAGCGCTTGCAAATGTATGCAACGAATGTGCGCGGCGTGAAGGCGAGAGCTACATTTTGAAAACGACCCGCCCTCAATTCGTGAAACTCTTGTTTTTGTGTTGAACAAATGTGCGCGGCGCTAAGGCGACAGCCACATATTGAAAACGACCCGCCTTCAAAGTGTGAAACTCTTGCAAAGTTTTAAAACGAATGTGCGCGGCATGAAGGCGAGAGCCACATGTTCAAAACAACCCGCCCGTAATCCGTGAAACTCTTCCTATTTTCTTTTTTAACGAATGTGCGCGGTGCTAAGGCGACAGCCACATTTTGAAAACGATCTACCCTCTATCTGTGAAGCGGTTGCAATTGTTTAAGGGTCAGGGTCATAAATGGTGAGGAAGCCTCAGGCGAAAGGCCCAGCCCGCTCTGAAAAGTGGCCTCGGGGTGCGACAGGGGGGAGTGATTCATAAGCAACAGGAGTGGTGGAGGAGGAGGAGGAAGAGGAGGGAGGAGGAGGAGGAGGAGCAGGAGGAGGAGGAGGAGGAGGAAGAGGAGGAGGAAGAGGAGGAGGGAGGAGGAGAGGATGAGGAGGACAAAGAGAGAAGGAGGAGGAGGAGGGAGGAGGAGAAGAGGAGAGAAGGAGGAGGAGAGGGGAAGGAGGAGGAGGAGGAGGAGGAGGAGGAGGAGGAGGAGGCGGTCTCCAGAGGCTTCCGGAGGCTCCTCCCGGGGGCCAGGCCTACAAAGGGTCCCCCCAGAGCTCAAGAGCGGGGTGCCCGGAGCCTCGAGGCCTCGAAGCCTTCGAGGCGCGGAGCCTCGACGCCTCGAAGCCTCGAGGCCTCGACGCCTCGAAGCCTCGAGGCCTCGAAGGCCCCGAGGCCTCGAGAAAAAACCCGAGCCCTCGGGGCCTGGGCCCTCGGGGCCCGAGCCCCCGAGGCCTCGGGGCCTGGGCCCTCGGGCCCTCGAGGCCTCCCGAGCCTGGGGGCCCCGGACCCTCGGAGCCTCGGGGCCTCGGAGCCGCGAGGGCGTCCGAGGCCTCGAGGCCTCGAGGCCTCGAGGCGCCAGGTTCGGAGCCTCGGGCGCCCCGAGCGCGTCCCTCGCAAGAGGGCCGCGCGGCCCTCGCGACAGGTACGGCGCCAAGCTGGACGAGATCGCGCCGCACTGGCGGGAGCAGGAAGCCCCGCGGCCCCGCCCTCCCGCTCCGGGCACGGCAGGGAGCCACGGGCTCGGCCACGCGCAGAGGTTGGCAGGGGGAGGGGGCAAGGCCTTTCAGAAGCACCCCTGCCTCTCGCAGAAGAGGCGGGCCTGGTCTGCAGATGCAGGGCCCGCGCCTTCGAAGAAGCAGCCTCCGCCTAAGAAGCCTTCCCCCTCACAATACCCCCCTTTGTGCGCGCCGCCCTGAGCATAATAAAATAAGGTTGATGTTTGGGGAGGGCCCCCCGGTGAAAAGCCCACCGGCCTCGACATGAACACTTCGGCTGTGATTGTGGTCGATTTGGCCGTCCTTGAACGCCACATCCACCACGAGCAGCCCTACTCTCTGGCTTCTTTGTTCTGACGATTTTCTGCAGGCGCAGGACATCCCCCAGGTTGTGCCCCCCATGTGGTTGTGGTCGCTTGCGGTCCCCACACTTTCGCGCGCGCCGCCCTAAGCAGGGCAACGTTGTGCAGGGATGCGCTCTCAAGGGGGGGCGACTTTCTCGGAGTCGAGGTGCAACGTGTTCGGGCTCGTCGGCTCTCGGAGGCTATCCCAGCTCGGAATGCGTTCCAGGAGCTGCGCCTCGCTGCGAGCGTTCTCGGGTTGCCGGGATCATCCCGAACGGCCTCCAGATGCACGGGGTGTGGCCATGAAGCCATGGAGCGAAAGATCGAGGGCAGCGTTACACAGGAGGGGATCGACTCAGAGGGGAATGTACTTGGACCCCCCCCTTCTCTTGGCGGCCTGGCTTTTGCTTGAGTTGCCTCCATTCTGGCCACGCTCGCATGACGATGAAGTTTCTTCTCTCTAGTCGCGTGCCCGCCCTGCTTTTGTTCAACAGGGTGGCCGCGGGGCGACTTAATATGACTAGCGAGTTCCCGACTGCGTGCGGGGGTGATGTTACCCCTCTGGGGATAGAACCGCCTGTTCATCGCCCGATTAGGGGCCCGATAGCCCACCCCGCCCAGGAACCCGCGGATTCGCCCTGGGCCTATCGCCGATCTGTTGGCGATGCATGGCCAGATCACGCTCGGTTGCCCCCCCCTCCCCCCTCCCGAGCCGGTCCACCCGATGGTTGCCCGCTCTAGGGATCGGGGTAAGCGGCTCTTCCTCTCAGGGTCCAGTTCGACTCGATCGATCCGTTCCAACATCGATCCTGGGCGGCTCGATCCGAGCCGATCTCGACGTACCGACGATCCGAAGCGGCCGGATGCCTGCATGGCGCTGTTGTGCATCCTGGCGCAGCAGGTTCGGCTCGATTCCAACTCCGTGCCGATGCTCGGGTCGGGCGAAAGGGGGGGATTGGGAAAAGGGGGGGTTACGAAATTTGCTGCATGCAGCTGGTTTCGGCCTCACCGAGGGGCCAATTCCTCGATACATGGCCGCTCCCGGCGCCGGGAGGCGCCGGGAAAATCAGCTGCGTGAGCTGATTCTCATCCCCCCCCTTTTGCTATCCCCCCCTTTCGCCCGACCCGAGATGCGACCCGGTCCGACGCGAACGACATTTTGACTCGATCCGGTTCCACGATGTCCACTTGCTTCGGCTGCTCCTGGCGAGTGACCTTCAGGAGGGAAAAAAGCACACAGACACAATTAATCGTCGATTCCCAGAACATATGGGAAAATATGGGAAGTGGGGGGGAAGACAAAAACCTAGAACATCTGGGAAAATATGGGGATTGTTTTTACTTCTGTGTATTTCTTTGTGTGTCCTGGGGCCCCTTGAGACCTTGGCTGCTGCGCGACTCCCGTGGGGCGCGGCGGGGAGGGGCGCTGGACCGGCCCGAGCACGCAGGCCGCCGCGTGGCGCAGCGCACGCAGCAGTCGACAAGCCGCGCACTCCTTGCGCGTCGCCGGCCCTGCTCCTCCACGCTTCTTCTCCTCCTCCTGCTCCTCATTCCAGTCAGGAGAGGAAAAAACACAGACACAGTTAATCCTCGATTCCCCAGAAAATATGTGAAAATATGGGAAGTGGGGGGAAGACAGGAACCCAGAAAATATAGGAAAATAGTGGGAACAGTCTTATTTGTGTGTATTTATTTGTGTGTCCTGGGGCTCCTCATTCCAGGTGTGACCGAAGGGGGTGGCCTGCGTGGCAGACTGAGCTTCGAGGGACCGGCTCAATTTGAGGAGCAGCGGGCTTCTCTGGCGACTGGACGGGCTTCCTTGCGTCCCCTGTCTGGTGGTCCTGCGTCGCCCTTTCTCTTGAGGTCGGTGGCCGCCTGGTCCTTTCCTGTGAGCTGCCAGGTGTGCCCCGCCGCTGCCGCAGAAGGTCTCTTCCCGGAAGAGAGCGCACGGCGTGCTACCTGACCTGCTCCCACCCCTGCCCAGTGGCAGCGTCCTCTCCCTCGTCCTCAGTTGGCGCCGGGCCCAGGGGGAAATTGAGAAGCGACGGGCCTCCTCAGAGGGCGCCAGGGCTTCTCAGCAGCCCCCGCGCCTCCCGAGCAGCTTGCCGTGTCTTCGCAGGAGGCTCCGGGAACCTCTCGGACGGGCGGCCTTGCGAGCCCCCTGAGGGGGCCCGCGCCCTCGGACTGCCCCCCCGGGCTCGCCGCCGACTCCATGGTGGAGAGCGTCGAGCTCTCCACCATCGTGTCGGCCCGGTGACTCTCTGGGGGCCCCGCTGGCGCAGCTGGCAAAGCTCCCCTCGCCCTACGCGGGCCAGGCGCCGGCCTGCTCGAGCACCATTCTGCATCTGTTGGGGGCAGGATCGGAGGGGACAGACAGCTGATCAAGCGGGACCCAAGTCGGCCAAGGGGTGGAGGGCCAGCAGTTCTAGGCCTCCCAGATGGATCGGAGTATAGGAGGGCGGTGGATCGCGCCGCATCGCCAATGCATCGAGGATGCGGCTCGATGTGCAGCCCGATTTTCTCCAAGCCGACGTCGCCGATGCATCGCCGATGCATCGCCGATGTCGCCGATGCATCGCCGATGCATCGGCGATGCATTGGCGGTGCATTGGCGAGGCGGCGCGACCCTCCGACCCCATCTACTCGGATCCCACCTGGGAGGCCTCCAGCACTGAGTTCGCCGGAGCCTGACGTCGAGCGTGGTCGATGACAACGCTGATCGGCTGTTGGCAAGCGTCGGGGGGTCCCCCGATCGGGAGATCGCTTTCGGTTTCGGTGCGTGCCGTGCCCGGGCGCGCGAATGCTCGCGAGGCGAGGCTGCGCGGGAACGGGGGCGAGGCAGATCCCAGCCGTGTCAGGGCGGAGCGGCATGTCAGACTGCTCCTCCGCCCGGCCGTGCGGCGGGGCCGGGGTTGGCCCGCGGCGGTGAGGTGGCTGTTCTGCGGTTGCCCCGTGGTCGCTCTGTGGTCGTCCTGTGGTTGTCCCGTCGTTGTCGTGTGGTTGCCTGTTGTGGTTGTCCCGCGGTTGTCCAGCGGTGGTCTGGTGATTGCCTCGTGGTTGTCTCGTGGCTGTCCCGTGGTTGTCCCCCGTTGTCCTGTGGTTGTCGCGTCGATGCGCGTGCTTGCCTGGTAGTTGTCACATGGTTGTCCCGTCCTGAGACCGATCTGTACGCGCATCACCATATCATCCCATATAAAAACGTGTGTATATATGTATATAGAGATACATATAGATATAGGTATACATAGAAATGATTCGTGCTGTCGGTAGAGATTGTCAGACCGTTAGGCACTGAATTCGATCCATCGACCGGTTGTGATACCGATATGTAGTTACATCGACCGGTATACCGGTAAGGACGTGTGTCGATTACGAATGAACGTGATACAGGTATGCATCGATGGATCGCGATATCGATTGACAGAGTGAGAGTGATATCGGCTGATAAAGGGAGCGATCCGTACACGCATCTATATATACACACATTGGCCTATGTGAATATATTTATATATACATATACATATGTATATGTAAATATAAGTATATGTACGCATGTACTTATATGGATTCACTCACATGCCCGCGTACATGTATACATATATATATATGTATTGATTCGCAGATCTTGGCAGTGCAATCGATAGACATATCGTCAGACCGATGGATAGGGATATCGGTATCAGGATTTCGAACTCCCGATTTCGATCCGACGTCATTCGCTCATCGAAAGCTACACCAATCTCCCCAAACCTCTGTATCACCCGAATGTTGGATCATGTAGGTTTTGGCATCGTCGGTGTGTGCAGTATCGGGCACATAGACCTCAGCAAAGACTCAGGTACAAAGAAGCATGCGAGTTTCGCGTGCCACTCAGCATCGCTGTCCTCCCTGTTCTCCTCCTCCTCCTCCTCGTCCTCCTCCTCCTCAGATTCCCTGTCCTCCTCCTCCTCCTCCTCCTCCTCCTCCTCCTCCTCCTCCCTCTCCTGCGCCCCCCCCCCTCCCGAGGGGCAGCGGGAGGGCGAACGAGGAACGAGGACGGCGAGCGACGAGCGACGGGACGAGCGGCGAGGCGGAGCTGGCGAGTGCTGCTCCCGCCCCGCATCCTGCTCCTCGGAGGCCCCCCCGAGGGGCCCCGCGGAGGTTCCCAGCGGGGGCCTCCGGAGGCCTCCGCGGGGGCCTGGGGCGAGGGCCGCGGGCGTCCGAGAAGCCCCCCCCTGCCTCCAACCCTCGAGCGTCGAGGGCAAGGCTCGGCCGGCAGAGTCTCTGGGGGAGCCCCCCCCTCTTCGAGCGACGAGCGACGGTCCTCCCCTTCTTGGGTCTACTCTGGTCCTCCCCTTCTTCCTTCCACCTCCCGCCGCCTCCTCCGTGTCCTCCTCCTCCTTCTCCATTCCTTTTCCTCCCTCCTCGCTCCCCCTCCTTCTCCTCCTCCTCCTCCTCCTCCTCCTCCTCCTCCTCCTCGCTCCTTCTCCTTCTCCCTCCTCGCTCCTCGCTCCTCCTCCTCCTCCTCCTCCTCCTCCTCCTCCGCTTCCTCCTCCTCCTCCCCCCTTCCGCCCTCCTCCTTCATTCGCGTTCCGTATAACTCCCCCCTCGTGCGCCCCCGGGCTGGTCCAGAGGGCGGGCCGGGCGTTTCGCCCGAGACGCACTCTTCACGTATGATCCTGGAGCTTACATCTTGCAGCAACCTCACAGATGGAGACCAGGTCGTTTTCGAAACGTGGTTTTCGTTTTTGCGCAGCACATTCCCGTCTGTAGAATTTGCAAGAGTTTCACGCATGGAGGGCGGGTGGTTGTCAACATTTGTTTTTTTCCCAACCATCCTGTGGTGTTGGGTCCTCGTTTTGAAGAGACGGTGCCCGCGTCCTCTTCTCCTCCTCTTCCCCCTCCTCCCTCCTCCCCCTCCTTGCCTCTGCTCTCGGCACACCTCTCACGCGTTTCGTAGCCCCATAGGGAGCTCCACCGAAGGCCCCAGTGGGGGTGTCCACATGCGGTTCCCCCACCCAGGGCAGCGTTTCGTGGCCCCATAGGGAGCTCCACCGAAGGCCCCAGTGGGGGTGTCCACATGCGGTTCCCCCACCCAGGGCAGCGTTTCGTGGCCCCATAGGGAGCTCCACCGAAGGCCCCAGTGGGGGTGTTCGCATGCGGTTCCCCCACCCAGGGCAGCGTTTCGTGGCCCCATAGGGAGCTCCACCGAAGGCCCCAGTGGGGGTGTTCGCATGCGGTTCCCCCACCCAGGGCAGCGTTTCGTGGCCCCATAGGGAGCTCCACCGAAGGCCCCAGTGGGGGTGTTCGCATGCGGTTCCCCCACCCAGGGCAGCGTTTCGTAGCCCCATAGGGAGCTCCACCGAAGGCCCCAGTGGGGGTGTCCACATGCGGTTCCCCCACCCAGGGCAGCGTTTCGTGGCCCCATAGGGAGCTCCACCGAAGGCCCCAGTGGGGGTGTCCATGCGGTTCCCCCACCCAGGGCAGCGTTTCGTGGCCCCATAGGGAGCTCCACCAAGGCCCCAGTGGGGTGTCCACATGCGGTTCCCCCACCCAGCAGCGTTTCGTGGCCCCATAGGGAGCTCCACCGAAGGCCCCATAGGGATAGGGAGCTCCACCGAAGGCCCCAGTGGGGGTGTCCACATGCGGTTCCCCCACCCAGGGCAGCGTTTCGTGGCCCCATAGGGAGCTCCACCGAAGGCCCCAGTGGGGGTGTCCACATGCGGTTCCCCCACCCAGGGCAGCGTTTCGTGGCCCCATAGGGAGCTCCACCGAAGGCCCCAGTGGGGGTGTCCACATGCGGTTCCCCCACCCAGGGCAGCGTTTCGTAGCCCCATAGGGAGCTCCACCGAAGGCCCCAGTGGGGGTGTCCACATGCGGTTCCCCCACCCAGGGCAGCGTTTCGTGGCCCCATAGGGAGCTCCACCGAAGGCCCCAGTGGGGCGGTGTTCGTGGCCCATAGGGAGCGAGGCCCCAGTGGGGGTGTCGCGGTCCCCCCACCCAGGGCAGCGTTTCGTGGCCCCATAGGGAGCTCCACCGAAGGCCCCAGTGGGGGTGTCCACATGCGTTCCCCCACCCAGGGCAGCGTTTCGTGGCCCCATAGGGAGCTCCACCGAAGGCCCCAGTGGGGGTGTCCACATGCGGTTCCCCCACCCAGGGCAGCGTTTCGTGGCCCCATAGGGAGCTCCACCGAAGGCCCCAGTGGGGGTGTCCACATGCGGTTCCCCCACCCAGGGCAGCGTTTCGTGGCCCCATAGGGAGCTCCACCGAAGGCCCCAGTGGGGGTGTTCGCATGCGGTTCCCCCACCCAGGGCAGCGTTTCGTGGCCCCATAGGGAGCTCCACCGAAGGCCCCAGTGGGGGTGTTCGCATGCGGTTCCCCCACCCAGGGCAGCGTTTCGTGGCCCCATAGGGAGCTCCACCGAAGGCCCCAGTGGGGGTGTCTCGCATGCGGTTCCCCCACCCAGGGCAGCGTTTCGTGGCCCCATGGGGAGCTCCACCGAAAGCCCCCGTGGCGCAGTTCGCATGCGCTTCCCCCACCCAGGGCAGCGTTTCGTGGCACCATAGGGAGCTCCACCGAAGGCCCCAGTGGCGCAGTTCGCATGCGGTTCCCCCACCCAGGGCAGCGTTTCGTAGCCCCATAGGGAGCTCCACCGAAGGCCCGCCCCGGTGGCGCAGTCCGCATGCGGTTCCCCCTATCCAAGGCAGCGCTTCGTGGCCCCATATGGAGCCCCACCGAAAGCGGCACCCACAACGCGTTACCAACAATTGCTTATGGTTGGGTCTTTCGCCAGGATAATTTGGCTTTAGCGCCACGCACATCCGGCTTTATTTCCTGCAAGAAGTTCACGGGTGGAGGGCAGATCGACTTCAAAGTGTGGTTCTTGTCTCAGCGTCGCGCACACTCGTTCAAACATTTGCAGGAGCTTCGCGGATTGAGGGTGGTTCCTTTTCGAAAGGTGGCTCCCGCCGCTCATTCGTTTTAAGGATCACAAAAAGTGGAAGGACTGGCATGGTTGACGTTTCGGAAATGGTCTTTTGGCATGATGTTGGACAGTGAGGGCGCAAACGTTATACTGATTTGCGGTGTTGAAGTCCCACGAATGCTTTCCTTGCGCGATTGAGGATCGTCCAGATGCAACAGACGGTGATTCGCAGCGCGGAGGTCACTGGAATGGTGTTCTCGCGCAGTTCAAGATTTTCAAACGATTATTTTCCAACGGGGCACGTGCTTTAATGAAAGTGAAGTATTGCATGGGGCTCCTGGCGATAAACTTGGAGGGAGGTTTTATATTGAACTATCGTTGATGAGTCTTGGGTTTACACTGGTTCTCCTCCTCCTCCTCCTCATCCTGCTCCGTCATTCTCTGCACTTCAGCCAACTCTCCGTGGAGTCATCGGATGGAGCGTGTGATCATTCTCTGCCGGTCTGTCCTACTCCCTCCTCCTCCCTGCCCTTCTCATCCTCCTCCTCCTTTTTCTTCTCCTCCTCCTCCTCCTCCTCCTCCTCCTCCTCCTCCTCCCATGTTCCTCATTCTCCTTGTAAGAGCTGCGAACACTTCTTAGGGCGGCAGCCTGGAGCGTTACTGGATGTCAGAAAATTGAGAACGCCGACCTAAGGGAGTGAAAAACACATTAAATTTGGCGTGCGCGCAGCAGACCAGGAATGGCAGATCCTCGATCCTCCTCATCCTTCTCAACCTTCTCCTCCTCCTCCTCCTCCTCCTCCTCTTCCTCCTCCCTTGTGTTCCCTCTCCTGCTCCCTTGTGCTCCCTCTCCTCCTTCCCCTCCTCCCCCCTCTTCTCCTCCTTGCTGTCCGCCTCCTCTGCCCTCCCCTGCCCGCCTCGCCCTTTCGGGCGCCGCCCTCCTCCCCCCGCCCCAGCGAGCCAGGCCGGCCTCACCTTCCGCGACCGCCTGGCGCGGGGCCCGCCGCCGGAGAGAGCCCGCCGCGCAGCCCCCACGCGAGCGCGCCGCCGCCGCCGGTGTGGTCGTCGCCGGCCGTCGTCGCCGAACGGACAGTCTGAGCCCTCGGCCCGAGAGGCTCGCAGGAGGCTCCCAGGAGGCCCCCCAAGCGGGCCCCCAGGAGGCCCCCCAGGAGGCCCCCCAAGAGGCCCCCTTTAAGGGGCCCCCAAGGGGCCCCCAGGAAGCCCCAAGAGGCCCCCAGGAGGCTCCCAAGAGACCACCAAGAGGCTCCCAAAAGGCTTCAAAACTACCCCCAAGGGGTCCCCGAAAGCGCTCGTCGTCGTCGCGGGTCGTCGTCGCCGGTCGTCGTCGTCGTCGTCGTCGCGGGTCGTCGTCGTCGTCGTCGTCGTCGTCGTCGTCGTCGTCGTCGCGGGTCGTCGTCGTCGTCGTCGTCGTCGTCGCGGGTCGACGTCGTCGTCGTCGTCGTCGTCGGCGGCGGCGGCGTCGTCGTCGTCGTCGTCGTCGTTGTCGGTCGTGGTCGTCGTCGTCGTTGTCGTTGTCGTTGTTGTCGTCGTCGTCGCCGCTCGTCGTCTTCGTCGTTGTCGTTGTCGTTGTCGCCTGTCGTCGTCGTTCGTCGTGTCTTCGTAGTCGTCCTTGTCGTTGTCGTCGTCGTCGTCGTCGTCGTCGTCGTCGTCGTCGTCGGCGTTCGTCGCCAGTCGTCGTCGGTCGTCATTGTTGTCGTTCGTCATAGGCCGTGCGGCGTCGTTCGTTGCCGTTGTCCTCCTCGTCGTATCCTTCGGTCGGTCGTCGGTCGGTCGGTCGGCCGGTCGGTCGGTCGTTCGTCATCGTCGTTCTACGCTCGTCGATCGTCGCTCGCCGTCGCCGGGGAGTGGGCAGCTCGCAGCGCGGGGGCCCTCGACCCCATCCCGGGGGCCCAGGAGGGGTAACGGTGTGGGGGGGTAGGCTCAGGGGGGGAAGCCCCCAGTCGCCCATTGGTCGCCGATTGGTGCCCGATAGCCCTTCCCGCCCAGGACCCTGTGGTTTCGCTATCGGCGGCCTACAGCCAACGCGCATAGTAGGGATGAGCAACTTTCGAAGGCTACCCTTGCATCCTTCCCCTTCGGCCCATCCTTGGCCGCTTTCGCTGGCCGCGCCCCGCTCGCAGAGTGTCGGTATGGTCTTTCAAGGCCCTTTGCATCTTTGTCGTGCGCCCTTCCTACACGGGCTGACTGTCGGCGATGCAAGGGCGATGCTCCCCCCCACCGAGCCGGCCCCCCTCTGATGCGCCCACTTTGGAGGCCGCGTCAGGGGGGGAGGAGGAGGAGGAGGAGGAGGAGGAGGACGAGGAGGAGGAGGAGGACGAGGAGGAGGAGGAAGAAGAAGAGGAATACAAATAAGAAGACGAACAATACTAATGATAATAAGAACAATAAGAATAAAACTAATAATACTAATTATACTAGTAATACTACTACTAATAATAATAATACTAATAATAATAATAATAAAAATCATATTAATAATAATAATAATAGTAATAATATTAATAATAATATTAATAGTAATAATAATAAGAATAATAATAATACTAATAATAATACAAAGAGGAAGAGGAGGAGGAGGAGGAGGAGGAGGAGGAGGAGGAGGAGGAGGAGGAGGCGGAAGAGGAGGAGGAGGAGGAGGAGGCGGGGTCATAGATGATGGGGGGCGGCAAGGGCTGCAGGAGAAGGGGTCCTCTAGGGCCCCCGAAGGGTCCCCCAGTGGGGCCTCCTGGGTCCGAGCAGGGGGCCTTTCTCCCCCCCCATCCATCGCCTGACCTTCCAGAGTGCAAAAAGATAACGCTCCAGACCTATACATCTATCTGGACTGCCTCAAAACCCCGACAGGAATTCGGACGTCGACGTGCTGATGCTATTTTTTAGCCCTCCAGGAAGGTCAGGGTCCATCGCCCCCTCCCCCTTCAATTCCCGCCCACCCCATCAGGGCACTCTCTCGTCGCGGACTGTTTGTGGATGGCCTCGGAGCCCGGGAGGTCGCCCCCGCCCCCCCCCCATGGGGCCGGACGCTCGCGGAGGGCGCAGGCGCCAGGACGTTGGACCACAGCGCCTGGAGGTCACAGGGTTCATGGGACCCAACGCTTGCTTCCAGACCCAGGGCTCGTTTCGACGCCTTCGATTTGGTTCGATGTTCATGGGTTGCGATCTCGATTCGACTCGGCTTCGGACCCCGATGCGGATTCCGATGTCCGAGCGGAGGCATTACCCTTTTGCAGCCTGCCGATTTCCGCCGACTCGACTGCTCCCGACCTGGCGCCGAGTTCCGCCGATCCGCTTCCATTTGAGCGCGGATCCGATCGGCCGACTCGAGCCCCGGGGCGCTGTTTATTCCACGCTTGTCGAGCTGCACCCGGCCGCGGCGGCGAGGGCGCCGCCGAAGGAGGCCCGAATAAGGCAACTGGCCTGGCGGAGGGCCCAGCCCCGTGCGGCTGCCTGTAGCGCAGGGCGTGCCCCTCTCCTCGCACACTGCGCGCCGCGGGACCGTGCGGACAAGTCTAGGCCTCCCAGATGGGGTCGGAGCAGATGGGATCGGAGGGTCGCGCCGCATCGCCGATGCATCGGTGATGCATCAGCGATGCTGCTCGATGTGAGGCCCCATTTTCTCAACGCTGACGTCGTCGATGCATCGCCGACGTCGTCAGTGCATGGCCGATGTATCGCCGTTACATCGGCGATGCATCGCCGATGTATCGGCGATGCATTGGCGATGCGGCGAGATCCTCCGACCCCATCTACTCGGACCCCATCGAGGAGGCCTCTAATAAGGGGCCGTGTAGTCGGCACGCAGAAGCACGGGGAGCTCCCTGTGGGGGCACGATCCGCGTGAGGTGTGAGGCCGAGGTGGGCGGTGGCCCACACGCGGGCGCGGCCACTGAGACCGCGGATGGGGCTGCCCGTGGGGGGACCCTCCACGCGAGGGCTGCGCCGAGATGGGCGCAAGGCCCGCATGCGTCTGCGTCCACTGGACACGTTGGTAGACCTCCCCGTGGGGCACGATCCTTGTGAGTGGTGCGCCGGATTGGGCGCGGGCCCGGTTGCGTCTGCGCACTCCGCGCGGGCCCACACGCGCCTGTGCTCACTGAGACGGGAGGTGCAGCCCACCCGTGGGGGCACGATCTTCGTGGGAGGTTCGCGAGGTGGGTGCCGCCCCGCAGGCGTCTGCACCCACCCGTGAGGCGCCGCCGAGGTGGGCGCCGCCCCGCAGACGTCTGCGCCCACCGCAGCCGTAGGTGGAATTCCCTGTGGGGCATATCCTCGTGAGAGGTTCGCCGACATGTGCGCGGGCCCGCAGACGTCTGTGCACGCGGAGACAGTAGGTATTGCTCCCTGTCGGGGCACGATCCTGGTTGGGTTTTCGCAGAGGTGGGCGCCGCCCCGCAGGCGTCTGCACCCACGGAGGCCGTAGGTGGAGTCGCCCTGTGTGGGCACGATCCTTGTGAGACGTCGCCGAGAGGAGAGACGGGCGCCTCTCCGCATGCGTGTGCGCCCTCTGAGACCTTACCCACGCGCCTTCGTCCACTGGGACCGTGTGTTTGTGTGTGTGTATCTCCTTACAGAGGCACGATCCTCGTGTGGTGCGCCGATATAGGCGCCGCCCCGCTTGCGTGTATCTTCCCGGGCACGATGTTGCTGGGGGATGCGCCGAGATTGGCGTCGCCCAGCGTGCGTCTTCGCTCAGTGCTCACGGAGGCCGTAGGTGCATCTCCCTCTGGGGGCACGGTCCTCGTGAGGGGTGCGCCGATATGGGATATGGGCGCTGCCCTGCATGCGTTTTTGTTTCCGCCGGGACCGTGCAGGTGGAGCGCCCTATAGGGGTGCGAAGCTTGTCAAGGGTGTGCCGACATGACCGTGCGCCCAGCAGCGGTAGGACGAGGAGAAGGAGGAAGAAGAGGAGGAGGGGGAGGAGCGGGAGGAGGAGGCGGAGGAGGAGGAGGCGGAGGAGGAGGAGGAGGTACGAGGAGGAGGAGGGGGGGAAAGTAGGAGGAGGTGGAGGAGGAGGGGGAGGCCCACACTAGCCA